TGTATTGTGATCATGTTCCGGAGACGTGGCCTGTATGGTGAGCATGTTCAAGAGGCGTGGCCTGTATGGTGAGCATGTTCCGGAGACGTGGCCTGTATGGTGATCATGTTCTAGAGGCGTGGCCTGTATGGTGAGCATGTTCTAGAGGCGTGGCCTGTATGGTGAGTATGTTCCGGAGACGTGGCCTGTATGTTGATCATGTTCAAGAGGCGTGGCCTGTATGGTGAGCATGTTCTGGAGGCGTGGCCTGTATGGTGATACTGTTCTAGATGCGTGGCCTGTGTGGTGAGCATGTTCTGGAGGCGTGGCCTGTATGGTGAGCATGTTCCGGAGACGTGGCCTGTATGGTGATCATGTTCTAGAGACGTGGCCTGTATGGTGATCATGTTCTGGAGGCGTGGCCTGTATGGTGATACTGTTCAAGAGGCGTGGCCTGTATGGTGAGCATGTTCTGGAGGCGTGGCCTGTATGGTGAGCATGTTCCGGAGACGTGGCCTGTATGGTGAGCATGTTCTGGAGGCGTGGCCTGTATGGTGAGCATGTTCTAGAGGCGTGGCCTGTATGGTGATCATGTTCTGGAGGCGTGGCCTGTATGGTGATACTGTTCTAGATGCGTGGCCTGTGTGGTGAGCATGTTCAAGAGGCGTGGCCTGTGTGGTGAGCATGTTCCGGAGACGTGGCCTGTATGGTGATCATGTTCTAGAGGCGTGGCCTGTATGGTGAGCATGTTCAAGAGGCGTGGCCTGTATGGTGAGCATGTTCTAGAGGCGTGGCCTGTATGGTGAGCATGTTCTAGAGGCGTGGCCTGTATGGTGATCATGTTCTAGAGGCGTGGCCTGTATGGTGAGCATGTTCAAGAGGCGTGGCCTGTATGGTGAGCATGTTCTAGAGACGTGGCCTGTATGGTGATCATGTTCTGGAGGCGTGGCCTGTATGGTGATACTGTTCTAGATCGTGGGCCTGTGTGGTGAGCATGTTCAAGAGGCGTGGCCTGTGTGGTGAGCATGTTCCGGAGACGTGGCCTGTATGGTGATCATGTTCTAGAGGCGTGGCCTGTATGGTGAGCATGTTCCGGAGGCGTGGCCTGTATGGTGAGCATGTTCAAGAGGCGTGGCCTGTGTGGTGAGCATGTTCCGGAGACGTGGCCTGTATGGTGAGCATGTTCTAGAGGCGTGGCCTGTATGGTGAGCATGTTCTAGAGGCGTGGCCTGTATTGTGATCATGTTCTAGAGGGTTCTTAACGTCGTGCTTGAGAATATTTCGCTCATATGACGACGTGCATGCCTGTGTATGTGTATGTGCGGCTGCTTGTACTAGCCCAGCATTAAGCTGGTTTTATAGTGCTAGCTCACTGAGATACCATGCCGCAGTGAAGCATGAATACCCCACTCAGACACAGTATACTGACACAGAGCCGACCAGTCCTTGTACCCATTAATGCCTAGCGCCAGGCAGGGACCAACAAGTACCATAACCACTACACCACGGAGGCGGCCTATGTTCTAGAGATGTGGCCTGTGTGGTGATTATGTTCTCGAGGTGTGGCCTGTGTGGTGATTATGTTCTCGAGGTGTGGCCTGTGTTGTGAGCATGTTCTGGAGACGTGGCCTGTGCGGTGATTATGCAAGCAAGCAAGCATGTGGATACTCTGCTGAGACAGTCTCAGACTCAGTTACAAGGCGAAGTGAATGTTTCAATGCAAAGAAAACCCTTTGCCCTAAGCATCCACACTGGTTACTCCCTGGCATATTCTCTTATGAATCTGCTCTTAGAAGTTTTGTGAACAGTTCCACTGGCAGTCAGGAATTTGTGACAACCAGAGATAGAGGTTCGTTGTATCCCATTTCAGTATAGTGAATGAACGAGTTTGGTTCAGTGCTGAGCAGAAACCAATGACCATTTGTACCATACTGACAAACCCATGACCATAATCATGGCGAACCTTGGATTCTGACCAATGTAACAGTTGAGTAGAGTTGGGTTTTAGGTCACATCGGCATTACTCCAGCCATATAGTAACGAGATCAAGTTTGCATTCACAAACATTTCAAGTACAAAGTCCAATTTTTTTCCCCAAAAAACATATATATTCATTACATTATTATTTACAAACAGAATATTTACAAAAAGAAATTTGTCACAGGATTCTGGGACGTCCAAGGGAGGCAAATCTATATAGCGACATAGATGATCAGGTCATTCCTGCACAGTTATATATACCACACAAAAATGTTGAGTGAGTTTATTTTTACACTGCTTTAGCAATATTCAAGCAATATAACTGCAGGGCACACAAGAAATGGACTTTACACATTGTCCCATGTGGGGAATCGAACCCGGGTTTTTTGCATGACGAGTGAATGCTTTAACCACTTGGCTACACCACTGCCCCTAAAATGTTAAGGAACTACTTATTACATGTCACATGAAGAATCAGGAGTTCTATGATTTGTTTTGTGTAGTTTATATGGAACTTAATCTTGAGTGAGTGAGTGAGTGAGTATGGTTTTATGCCACTTTAGCAAAAATCTAGCAATATCACAGCAAGGGACACAAGAAATGGGCTTCACACACCGTACCCATATAGGGAATCAAACCCAGCCTTCAGCTATTTATAAGCTCTGGGCTACTCCACTTAATCTTTAGAGTGTATATAAGCTTCAATGCTTTTTCTGGTATATACACTAAATTTCCCTTTTATAAGTAAAATATTTTAATATGCATGAATGTCAAGAAAAACAGAAAATGCCAAGCTCTGTGGACTTCATTTAATTGTACAAATCTTACAGAACCTGTTCATAATATTAACAAGAAGTTGGAACACAAACCTTTCAGCTTCATTAGATCGACACAAATCGGTGACAATGTTCCATATTGTTTTACAAAGAACATGAAAATATTGTTAGTATACAAGATTATATACATGATGGGACCTTAGAGTTAGTCGTTGATATGTTTAAAAGTTATATCACAAAGATTTGAGGCACTTGATCCCGAAATAAATGCGTAATGGTTTCATTTCTACAACTTTATCTACATAATGACAAATCTATCTGGATGGTAGGTAAAAATGATATATTGCTAAAACGAATGATATAATACAATGTAACCATGACAACCATTCCTTCCCCAAAAGTCCATGTTTGTTTTGACAGTATTTTGCTTGTAGGTCTTAATGATTTGTAGCTTAACATGGTCTATAGGCCTAAATGATCTGTAGGTTCACATTGTTGGGCTAAAACATGAATAGAATTACATTTGTAAAAATCTGTTGATCTTCAAGATTTCGGTCAGATATGTACTGAAGATCAACACCATGTAAGTTTGATAACATATGTAAGCATCCGTAGTCTATGTGGACTGTTTGCCCATTGGATCTGCAGATCAAAATGATCTTTTATGACATTGTCTGTGGATCTACATATTGTGCCCTGTAGAAGTCTCTGCCTTGTTACTGATGCAACACATAGCTGAATGTTTGGGCCAGGACAAACACAACAGACCACTCTCCTCTCAGCAGTTAAAGTCATGTACTCACCAATGTGGTTACGTTGAAAACCTACCATTACAAAATGAAAACTTAGGTAGTCGTACAAATTTTCATAACGATTAATAAGGCACACACTCAATTCTCAAATTAGTACAATTTCGTCTAAAGAGAGCTTATCCAAACATATTTCGAGGCATATATTGCAGGTGTATTGTTATTGCTGAACAAAGATTTTGCTGTTATTTTATAGAAGCCATGAAGGTTCACACAGGTTAGTTCCATGTAAACTGATTTTTTGTAATGCTCGCTTCTCCCGAAAGTGAGAAGAGAATTGCAATGGTTGCCAGGGGGTGATTGAACAATACATGATGATTGGTAATATACACGATGATAACACTGTTTGGACGGATACACAGGATTGCTAAAACAATGGCTTCCATCACGGAGGAAACGACAGCCGAGTTATATTTTACAGTCAGAATACACATAAACCATCACAAATGCTTGAACATAAAACTAAGTATTCATGCCATATTTTGAATATAATGGTATATTGCTTTCATTTATGTTCCCAAACATGGTTGAATGATCCACTTTGTGGAGATGCTATTGGTACCTTGAGTCATGAAAGCTTGACAACACATGCAATGAGAATGAGAATCCAAAATTTAAGTCAGTTTAAATAGCAGTGGCTTGAAAATGCTCGTACATAAAATCAGAAAATAAGTTCCGGAATTTATTTTCTTATCAGATTATATAAATAAATAGGTCTATCAATACACAATCTCTCAATGTACTTATGGCAAAGTATTGAACCTTTAGTGAAATGTGATACCCTGATCCCAACTATTTGAACAGTTCTGACATAATGGGATAGGTAAAACAATTCGTTCCTTCGAACAGTCTGGGACATAGGTAGTCATGCAGATAGACACTTCACAACCATACAACTACAATAAATAAACCAGACTCACGACACAAGGCGACAGGGGAATGGGGACACAACCAAACCAGTCTATTATACACAGGACAATTTGCTTCTGTTCAAATATTGCACCAACAGATATCCTTTGATGCGTTACATGCAGCTATGTTCTTAGATCCGCGACATACAGACATCTCTTAGATCCATTACATGCACCTATGTTCTTAGATCCGTCACATACAGATATTTCTTAGATCTGTCACATATAGATAACTCTTAGATCCGTTACATGCAGATAACTCTTACATGCAGATATGTTCTTAGATCCGTTAAATACAGGTTATTCTTACATCCATCTGTGTTCTTAGATCCGTTACATGCATCTGTGTTCTTAGATCCGTTACATGCATCTGTGTTCTTAGATCCGTTACATGCATCTGTGTTCTTAGATCCGTTACATGCATCTGTGTTCTTAGATCCGTTACATGCATCTGTGTTCTTAGATCCGTTACATGCAGCCAATGAAACACTAATGTAAAGCACGGGATGAAGCAATTTGAAACAAATCCTTCTCAGATTTGATTCTCCTGCATACATATATTTTCCTGGGTTATGTGGATGACAAGAAGCCTTAAATCTCACTTGACAGTCTGCTGCTCCTGCTAAAGAGGAGAGCTCAGAATATCTGTAGAATCACCACTTCCTAGAGTTCCTTGCACAAAGCTGTCATTCTCTGATACCCAACCCTTTACCACTGGGATAAGACGCTCTAATGAACCCGAATCAGGATTAGTATGTTGTTCAGTGCTGCATCTAGTAATATTCCAGCTTTATGACAGTGGCAATAATCAAGTCTCAACCAGATAATCCAATCGAGCTTGGGTTAAAATATGAAGTTGATGATTATTGATTACATGACAGAGTTCTTCAGGCTCTGAAAGTTACTGTAAAGGACATGCAAGATTACCAAGAGAGCAGAAAGAATGAGGTTACCAGGCAACAAGATTACCAGGATGTTACCAGCCACCAAGATTACGAGGGTACCAAAGCATGCATGAGTCAACTACCATTCACTTCCACAACACTCAAAATATGCACAGATTATCTGGAACACCACTGCAGATTCCTGACACGAACATTACTTCAACATGGCCGTACAGGATTAATCTGAGTGTTGCGTGAGTCGTCACCAGTCACAACACCAACGTACAATGATGGGTTATGGAGCACAACACAAACAATTCAACAGTCTAACAGGGAAATAAATCAACAAAAAATACAACCAAAGTAAACAAAGCTTCCACTGTGTGAAACAAGAACAGAGACTCCAACATGCTGAACAACCCATTCCAAGGGAGACAACTGGTGACCACCCAGACGAGCCACCTGGGTAGAGACCCAGCATGCAGTCAGTAAATCAAGTCATCTGCGATGCCTGTTGGAGAGAGAAAAACACCAGCACCCATTAGTAAGCAGCAATGATGGATGCTCAGGATAGAAGGAAGCCAGGCAACAGGTGGCTACGTGATTAAATGTACGACTGGACACATCTTTCTGGAAATTTGGTGAATTTATTGAAATTCCTTTTCCTGTAAAATCCTCATTTCTTGGAGATAGAGCTGTACAATTGTAGTGCTTAGATTTACATAGCTTTCCATTGAGCTGTAACAACTTAGTAGATGCAAAGCGTTAACATATAACAAAGCCATGTATGGGAATGAATCAAGCAATATGACAATCATGGTCATTACCAAAGCAGTTGGGATAATCCATCAATGCTTAAGGGTTAAAAATGCATTTTTGACTGTAAAATCTTTTCCTATCAAACACGATCATGAAAAAATGGGATACTTGCATGGTACATGTTAAGAATCTACAGAGCACTAAATGCTGGAATGTTTATGTACTAAAATGATTAATATACATTTGGTATCTGGAGCCAAACATATCACAGAATTCTTATAACAGGTCCCTGATATTGCATTGGGAACTGGAACAGTCCTTTCAGTACTAATTTCAGTCTTATAGCCTGTGATTTATTTACAAACATTAACTGAGAATATTGTGATATTAATTTACTACAAGATCAACATAAACATATGTTCAAACATTTGCTTCATATAAACTGGAATGAATTTGATAAAACCTAAAGACACACACAAGGCTACACACAACCATATTCATACCACACAGAGCTCTTGTTTGGTCCCTGTCCTTGACCCTGTCCCTGACCTTGACCTTGACCTTGACCTTGACCTTGGTCAGGTCTCTGTTGTGGTTGGTCCTCAGGTTTGACTGGCCTGACAGCCTGAGCAGTCTTACTGGATGAGGATTTGGCCTGCGGCTGTATACGGGCTGTAGGAGTCTGATGCCGGGCAGTGTTGGGCAAGAGCCTTGCTGTGGCTGACAACCCCATCTGACTGTTGGACGGTTGTTGAGGACCAGGAACATTGGAGCCGTCAATTGAGGGCCGAGATCCTAGACTGCCCGGTTCACGAATTAAACTGACCGTGTTTCCTGGCTGGCTTATTGGCCCTGGTTCCCTACTCCTCCTTGGAGGAGGCACAGGAGGAACATTACCTCGCCTCTGAGCTGAGGGCTGATAGTCATTGTTCATGTTCTGATTGAACAGATGTGGTGGAACAGACTTTGGCCGCTCTGCCGTTTGTGACCGAGAAGTGTAGCTGTTCTGAGTGTAAGGGCCATTAGTCTGTGATGCCGATGAATGAGGCTTTGTGCCAGAACCACCTTCCAGAGTTGTTGGTCGGCTGGATCGGACTTTATCTACTGTGGAATAAATAGGGTCAGTCCTGGAGGAACCCTGAGATGAAACCTGGAAGGCTGGATGACCCATGACACTAGCAGGACGGTTTGATGAAGGACGGTTGTTAGGAACCAAACTGTTTTGTGTTCTGTGTTGGAACTGTGCTGCTGCTCCTGTTGGCCTACCATACGGTGGAGGTCTGTCTCCCCTGCCCTCTCTCCTGGGAGCTGGTAGAAGAAGTGCTGGGCAAGGACGGTCTGCTTGGTGTTGCATAGTGATTACTACTTCCTCCTGGCGAGTGAGACCTGTAGTTTCTAGGTGCAGCTGGTGACTGACCACGTATACCTCCCTGAGGTTGTGGTCTTGGTTCCCGACTGAAATGTCCGGAGCTGCTCTCTCTATCGTACCCACGACCATCACCCATGTGACTCTGCCTGTTGCTATAGTGACCAGGAAGGGAGGCCTGATCAGTGGATGAGCTGCCACTGCCCATCATGGTCAGACGGTCCAGTCGCTCAGCTGGAGCCAGATTGACTCTTTCTACTGGAGTTGGAGGTAGTTCTCTCTGGGACGGCCTGGCACCTGGAGGTGGAGGAGGAGAACGTACTGGCTCTGGACTAGACATTTGAGGTATGGGCTGACCGTACTGGTAAGACACAGTGGACGTGTTCAAGAGACTTGTCTCAGCTCCCTGAGGAGCCCTATAGTCCTCCAATCTCTTTGCATAAGTGTGAGGTGGTGAACGGGCATCTTCAACTGGAAGGCGTTGTGAAGAGTTTTGCATATTTTGCCATTTTGTATTTTCCAGTGTTTTTGATCTTTCGTATGTATAGGCTCGAGGACCATAAAGTTCAGTATTAGCTTTAGGAGTGGATGTTTTCAGATCTTGTCGGTTGCTTGGAGGTGGAGATGTTTCTGGAATGTTAGCACTTCCACCTGATATCCTTGACAGTACAGACATGTTCAGATCTGTGTTTGGCTGTGCTGATGCGGCAACATCCGGGATGTGGCTGCCATGGTTGCCATGGGTACTGTAGCGATGGCTCATGTCATGCTGTTGGGACACAGACGAGGGCTTCCTCATGGCACGACTTGCCGGGTCGGAACTAGCACTCCCCGTACTACGGGACTCTTCATCCTGGCTCCTCCGGTCTACAGACTTCCTCTGGAACACAACATTCATACAACTTGAGAAAATGATAATGAGATGAAAAGTAGTTCAGAATTACACACAAGAACAAGAACTACGGTAGAACTCATCCCTGGCTTTAAAATCATACGAAAATACAATTATACTTAAAAGCAAAGCTTCACTTTATGTGGATTCAATTTTGCCTACTTACATGGTCCTTGTTTAGCAGTTGTTATATTATGTTAAACTATTACAGCAATTAAATAAAAATTAAAACATTTTCACACAAGCAATATTCCACTCATATGACTGCACAGCACGATAATATCAGTGTACGAAATAAGCCAAAAACCCTGCCAGACATCAGGGCTGGTAACTTCAAAATGTTACCAGCCCAAAATGGATTTAACCAGACCAAACAATCCAAAGAAAATTATTCAGATGTATGGAACATGTTATCTAAATTTTTTACCAGACGGTTGGGCTGGCTGGCCGTAAACTTTAGACCGTCCGTTTGAAATCTAGCCCGTCTTGGGCAGTTGGACGGGCCTTATTTCATACACTGATAATATGCATGTAAATGAAAATCTATTGACCAAGTCATGTTACAGCCTGATCATGTTCTGACTTACTGGAGGACTCTGCTTGTTGGCCTCGTTAAGGAACTGTGCCAAGGTGAGCATCTCACTTCCAGGTGAGCCTGGTCGCCGGGCAACAGGAGACTTGGGTGACAGCGGCATGAAGCCAGCCTCCTCATCTGCAGCCTGGTACTGACGCCCCAAACCTACACATATCAGCGCTTGTACACAAGATGCAGAACATGTCATCCCAGCTGGGCTATATGGTTTAAAAGCTCATCTCTGGGAAATCAGTCTATCCTAAATATTACACAATGCCATTTAGAAAGTGGTCAAATGTAACATATGTTATTTTTGGGAATACCATTTCTCGGGACAGAATAGATTCTAGTACTTTTGTTGGGTTGAGTTGCCAGCACACAAAGGGAAGTTGCGGTAGCTGAGTGGGTTAGGCGGCTGACTTTGTATGCTGGTGATTAGGTGCCTGACTCTGAGGATGTGGGTTCGAATCCCAGATGGCACTCAACCCAACAAAAGTACTAGAATCTGTACTTTACCAGGAAAGGGTAATACCAAATATAACATATGTTATATCCCAAATATTACCTGATACTTACAGTAGGCTAACTAAAGAGCTTAAACCATTTTTGGGCAGCTACTAAGTCCAATCATCTTCCATGTCATCCCATCCAATAATTCGCTTTTTACAAGCAGAGGTTGCTGGGGACCTACCCTAACTTGGAATCCCAAAGCGGCTTCTCTCATATCAACTGAAAGCTCACACATGATTCCTATGGTACAATTCTCTGCATGTTAAAGACATCTGCTGCCAAGTGGAATCCTAACAATTTGCCAGGTCTAGTTTGCTTGTTTGACACAGCGTTCAGCAATATTCCAGCTAAATGACATCAGCCTTAATCGAAACTGGACCAGACAATCCAGTGATTGATATTTTGAACAGTAAACAATGACGTTGATATATGACGGCAAGCTGTTTGACCAGGTCACTGATTGTGACCATCACCTCTTACAACCAACATTGGTTACTTGAGATCTTTGTAACCTGGAAACAGCAAATTAAAATTAAGGTAAACCCTTTGAGGATTTTGGAATAATTATTTCCATCAAGCCAAAATCAAATCTTTACAAAATGCTTCACATAAAGTCCCACAACCACTACATTTTGACTGGCTTACATAGCTCTGCATCACCCTCAAAACTCTAAATACTGTGTGCACTACCTGGAAGAAGCTGTGTGGAGTTGCCTGACGACAAGGAGTCCTTCTCCCCGCTCCCACTGTGTGACAAGTCATTCACGATATCCTCAGTGGATTTTGCACCTGCAGCGAACAACCAAGCTCCCATTATCCCAGCACAGGTACACAAACAAAGCAACAACATCGAGGCAAACCTGTCCACCATTGCATGCACAACCTGGTCAGATATGAGTAACATTGCTCTTTGACCTGAGCTCACATGAAGGCGTTTCCTATTCTCGCGGCACTTACAGATATCGGCTGAAAAAATAACACAAACAATTCTTCTCGTATGAATGCTTGTTGTTTTTAAATGAAGGGCCTTCTCCTCTAACATCTGCATCTATCAGCTGCTAGATCCATCAGGTGAGTTACCACTTGTGAGCCCGGTGATAAACAATTCCATCTGCCATTGACGACATGAGGTTTCTCCCATTTTTCCGGTATAACGAGGAAGTAACGTTATGGAGTGTATGGAAGAGCAATCATATGTCCAAGTTGGTATAAACTCACCAAAATTTGTGACATTGCAAGATTTTGATCTCTCGCTGACTTGGGCCACTTCCTAGTTACCGGTCGGTAAGGTTAACAACCCCTCGGTGTCACGCATCAGCGATATCGGCAGAAAACGTGTTTACCGTGAGAATAGGAAACACGTGAGAATAGGAGACGGAACTATAACTTTAAGCCAAGAACACAGTATTCTAGTTATACCATGTAATGTCGGGCAATAGGGTAGCCTTGTGGTTAAAGTTTCACTTGTCATGCCAAAGCTAGACTATCGCTTTGTCTCTGAATATATATAATTTTGATAGTAACATTTTAATTGAAGAGGAGACCCAGTGAGATGGGAAATTCAGAACCTGAACTTGGGAAATCTAGGCTTGAAACTCCCAATATATAGCAATACATATCAGTGTTCATGAATAGCATCTGACCCTATGACAAATCCGGCAGATTCGCCAACTGTGTGATAGAAGTCTAAAACCCACCGGCCCCAGTGTCTGACTGTATATTTCACAATGACTTTGACTGAAGTTGTTATATGTGACATGTGACACTTGTTTGCTGTTTATAAATCTTATGTTTGTTAATAATTTTAATGCCAATTATAAGAAATGTTAAATCTGAAATGTGTGTTTAATTTCATTCTATGGGTCCTGTGAATTTTCAATGGGTCAGACAGACATCTGAAACTTGCAGGACCAAATGTCCTGTTACTCTGAAACACCATTCGTGAACACTGCATATTGGAATACGAGTACCAGAATTGGAATACATTGCAATACACTTTATTTGCCAATACACAGCCCTAGTAACTAGGGAATTAGTTTGTCAAAAGGAGTTGTCTGGTGATGGACAGGTTTGCCAAATACACACATGTTCTAGCCTAAGTACAACACATATCTCTACTTGCAGCATATCTGTTGAGGACATGCTTTCTGAAGACATCCAGCAGGTGCTACACAAGGCTTGTAGTCACCATGGTAACAACACACAACATGGACAACACAGAATCTACATAGTCAACAGTGAAATATAATCTGCTTTCGATGCACAAAGGATAGAGCTGAATACAAATTGTGAGGAAATAATCAAAAATATCCCCTGAGATATACTAACATCGAACTCACTGAGAGCCATCGAAAGGCCCTTACCAAAGACAACACCACACATGAAATGCTGTCTACAATATTTCAAACTCCTCCCTGCACTATGAAGAGGGAATTATTGTACATGAGGGCCAAGTAGAGCAGTGGTTGCACCAACTCAAATTTATTCCACATATTATCTTTAAAAATCTGCTGACAAGAATCCATTGAGATACTACGAATATTAGTACAAAGAATAAGACGAACACAAATCTATGAAGTAGTTAGAATTGTCTGAACTAAATGTTGATATGACGTAACATTAACTGAAAGGCATGAAGAAAATGATGGTTAATTGGTCTTCCCTTATTAGCATAAACAGTATGATGGTTGACGCGAGTTGAAACTTAAACCAACTGAATTTTTTTTTATTGACATGCCTTTTCTGGATTGATACAAAATAAATAAGAAATAATTTATTCCACAACCACAATAGGTAAATAATAAGAAAAGCACAACACCAAGACTGCGATATCCATGCAGGGACGGAAGAACTGCACAAGACAGAAATCATTACCTCGGAGTTTCGGCCTATCCTTAGGAGATTGCGTGAAGTTGAGAGCAGTGGTTGATTTGGCTAGACTTTTATTTTGCTTTGCCAGTTTGGGTGTGGCCAGTACGCGCACTACCCTCGCTACTCCGCCTCATTCGTTTGTCTGAGTTAGTGGTAAACAAAACATCGTGTCAGAAACAAAACTTGTTAAATAACACTTCATCGTAAAACGTTACATAGAAAAGAGTTACAATTAATTTTTTATAAATAAATACAGTACTTTGGGAAAGATGACAACTTTGTTATTATATTGTCTGTCATGCTTAAATACTTTCAGACCAATCCATTAGTTAATCTTTTGATTTGTCAAACAAATTTCTTAGACCAAAAAAACCAAAAACACTGTGCAAATAAACTGACCATGCAAGTAAATTCTTGACAAAAATCATGCCAATGTTAATCATGTGTTAGAGTGCTTCCCAAGTTCCCTTGTGGTTGAAATGGCAGGCAGCTAGATCTAGCACTGGGTGAAAATATCAGTGCACATAACTTGTACATTGTTGTAGGGTGGTCAATGAAGTCTTGAACTGTACAATGATGTACAACTATTACATTGAATAACAGTGCTGTGTTGATGGAATGGAGTGGAGAAGAGTGGAGATTAGAGGTTGGAGAGGTGTGGATCGGAGCAAGTAAATGAGATGTGGTCTTACCCATGCATCCAAAAGTATTTTAATTATATCAGCTTGGTATTTATGTGTTGGTTGCAGACAGTTCCCTTTGCAGGAACACATGGCCATGCTCTGACAAACCAAGCATTGTAACCATTGAAAACCAAAGATGAGAAGATCTGGTCAACCAGCATTCATCACCATTTGCCCCTTTCCGTAACCTCCAAGAAGAAAATACGACAAACCAATCAGAACGCACGTAATGATTGCAGTGCTTTGACAAAAATAATCCCCGAGGACTCAAATCGCTTTTGGCATTACGTTTTTGTTCAATAAATCATGAAAAATATATACCGTCATTGTGAAAGTACAAAGAACTTAGCTAACAGGATTCTGTTGCCTAATGTGAAGTTTTTAACAAGAATAATGCCCTGAATGGTAAGAGATTCAATTACATGCACGTGTGTTTGTTGATTTAACGGCTCTCATGGGTCCAATTGAGTGTATTTCTAACGATCTTGCGGGCTTGTTTTGGAGATTGTACGTGCGCTTCCAACATTTTTAGGAAATGTAATTATATATCGCTATGAGTTTCAAAACAATGATATTATATCTGTATGTAACTAATGAACTTTATTTTTTAACATTGTGCTTATATTTCACATCTCTGGGGATATCTGACTTTTTTGGGGGGGGGAGGGGGGAAGAAAGAGAGAAAGAGAACATTCACATTTTATTTACAGTGATTTCATTTAAAATTCTACCAGGGGTATGACAGTTTGAGAAATATTTTAAAGTAATTTTTGAATATCTTCTTTGGGATTTAATGTAGCTGAAGAAAAAGAATATTTTTGGGGGCATATTCAATAAAACAATTTCCATTTGTGATTATGAAACCCTATTTAGAAATATAATTGGAATAGAAGTTGAACAGCTGGTAATAATATGTCTTTAACAAATATGTTTTTCTTCTTCTTTTAGTTGTATCAAAGAGGTTTAATTCTTTAAAATAAATAAGTAAAAACAAAAACAGCAATACAATGTACAAGTGCTTAGGTGATATTAAGAACATTGGAATGAAACAAGGATAGAGTTATTGTTCTTGTTGAAAATAGTTCTGATGTTCATGCGCCAATATGAAAGCCTGTCGCTATTCGGCTTGTCCCGGAATAACAAGAGTTGGTCACGAAGGTCAACCAGGGGACATAACTCCACATAGCATAGCCATTTGTGCAGTCAGAAATTTTCCCCTGGAGTGAAGTGGTTGTTGCACTGCTAGTACATAGTTAGGATGGGTCAACCTCGAATGACGTGAGTGTTAGTGTCTCACAACCTGTCATTTCAAATTTCATCCCTTTGGTAATAAACATTGTACCGGTGTTAGGCACAGTGTTACAATGCATGTGTTGTGTTACAATGTAAAATCAAGTTAAACAGTGCAATTGTGCTTTCACTGGCAAAATGCGATATTATTGTGATGCTACATGTTCAGGTATGCACCATTTATTAGTTGCCGCTCTAACAGCATCTTGTGAACAGAGCACAGAAGCAGGCGAGTGTCCAAATGACGTGATGTTGAGGATAATCTGTGCATGATGTTAAGATGTTAAGATCACATGCAGAAGAAATTGATCATGCGGCATGCAAGGTACACAAATTACAAAGTGAACAACATGCAGGTGTTAAAAACAGCTTTTTTTTTCAAGATGAAGCACCCACTATTTCTAGAGGTGAATGTGAGCAATCGTGCATATACACCAGCCCAATACTGCCCTAATCAAGGCACCTAATGAATTAACTGAAATCCCTAATGTGGAATGATGTTAGTCTTCTACAGTCAAGTTGGAAGTCACTGCTACACTTCTAACAGAACTATTGTTACACCGTCCAACTACCAGTCTAAGAAATGTACTGAACTGAAATAGTTCTGATTATGAATATTTTTGGGATATCTTGTATGAAATCGTGTGCTCAGTCTTCACTATGAAAAAAAGAAGAAGAAAAAATCCTAAAAATATTCATGATCACGGACCTCTTTTGTCAGATACATTTTTATACCAGCTTGATATTTACACCACTTTCATCACTGGGGCCCCATTCACAAAGAGTTTGTAGCACTACAATATTCGGAAGCCAATAATTAACTATATAGTTACGATAGCTCGTAACATGACGAACGCTTTGTGAATTAGGGCCCTTTCACAAAGCACTAAGATGATTGTAAGTCACTAAGGTAACCTTAGGTCAATGTTAAAGAATGGGAGTTAAGGTTAACCGTAGTAAAGGTTGCTTCGTTAAAGAAGCCCCTGGTGTTTAACTATCACCATTACCAGGTATGTACTGTGTGCAACCCGTCCACATGAGTTGTATATATAGTTTATACCACATGCACCACCTCCAGCTACCCACAACCAGCCTACCTGATTTCCGACTGTCGTTGATGTGGTCGCCTGACTCTGCATGTGACATAGATCCCATGGTTGAGTTCTCAGGACTCTCTGATGCCAGATTTGGTCGACTTTTACTTCGCTGTCTCTGGAATACCCGATAATATACTGTAGCCTTTAAGAAGCATGTGTGCATAAATATTCTGGTGAATTTCACTCAAAACCTGAAAAACACAACCGGTAACTGTATAAATAACAAACATATTTCTTACCCGAGAAATAATTCCCTTGGCCTTCCTGGCTATCATTGCACCGAAACCCTTGTTCCTGGAACAGACAGACATACATTGTGTTGAAGACATGTCAGCATTGAGGCTGTGAAGTGTCACGCAACCAGGAGATGATGTGTACAGGTTGTATAGTCTGCAGTGTAGGAGTGAGGAATACAGTGGACAACTTACTTCTTGGGGGAGTCCCATCTGTTCTTGTAGTGTTCCATGATCTTCTCCTCCAGACGCTCTTTCTGCCGACGCAGGTCAGCCAACTTCTCTCTGTTGTGGTAGTTAACATGAGTAAGTACAGTTCAATGTAGGGCTTCTTCATGAAAATAATAACCCTGTCCTATCCCAGCCAGGTACAGAGCACCCTGGAGTCTTTGACTTTATCATGTGTGGCCTCTGGTTCCAGACCTTACCCACCAGAACCAGATACAGTACAGCTATGTGTTGCCTGTTACTTAGACACAGGACTTCTGATGCCTGCTCTCCCATTATAACCAGGCACAGTGCACCAACAAGTCTGCTACTATCTCGACACAGGACTTCTGATGCCTGCTCTCCCATTATAACCAGGCACAGTGCACCAACAAATCAGCTACTATCTCGACACAGGACTTCTGGTGCCTGTTGTGCTACTATAACCTGGTACCATATGCCTACATGTCTCCTATTACCTTGACACAAAACTTTTGGAACCTACCGTCCTACCAGGTACAGTGAAATGATGAGTCTGCCATTACTTATATGTAGGACTTCTGACTATGTTCATGTGGGCTTGTAGTTCCAGACCTTACACACCAAAGCAAGATCCAGTACACCTATGTGTCTGCTATTACCTTGACACAGGACTCTCGGTGACTGCCATCCCACCAGGTACAGTATCACAGCAATGAGTCTACCATTACTTACATGTAGGACTTCTGCTCCTCCTGCTGTTGGTCCTTGCTGTTGAGGGCCTGAGTAAGGAGGTCTTGGTTCTGATTGAGAAGCTGCTGCACCTGGTACAGCAATGCCGGTTCTCCTCATCCAACTTCTGGTTCACCTGGTACAGTGCCTGCAGGGGAGAAAGTCAATATAGCCATCAAATCCTCAAAAAAAAACACACCAGAAGTTAACATGGTAATGTAACACAATATGCTTATCACCCAATTTGCTGGTTTCCTATAGGTCCTGGCAACAGTACCTGAATCTTGGTGCTTTCTCATCTGTTGACATCAGGGCAGTGACAAGGCCCTTTGACATTCATACTTAATTATGGACACTGATAATGGTATTGTCTAATGAAGGTTTTAGTTTCCTAGCAAGATCACACCAGAGAGGATGGAAGGGCTTCACAAAGAGTACCCATATGGCTATTAAACCAAGAGTAGTCCATTGGACAAGACTTAAAGCTTCTCCATTATTCTATCCCATGCCTCTGATACAGATGCAATACTCACATCAAACCTGTTCTCCAGTTTCTGCATCTCCACATCCATGGTGGTTACGGTGTCTTTATATTCCCCGACCTCCCCCGTCATCTCCGTGTTCTTCAGATTCAGTGTGTGGTTGTCCTTCTTCATCTGCTTGTGATCAGTCAAAACCCCGCGATAATCTTGACTCAGTTTATCGTAACCACTTCTCAATCGATCATGCTCATCACGCAGCTTGTCATAGTCCATCTGAAGATTGCCCAGAGCCCTGAGTTCAGACTTGAGCTGCTCTCTCTCCCGCTCTAGAACCTCTCGCAGCTTGTTGACATCATCCTTCCCTTGCAGCAAGGAGTCCAGCTGCTCCTGAAGGTCCTTCAGCTCGTTCTTCAGAGACTTATGGATGGACTTCAGGGACCCATGTTCGGAGATGAGGGACTCGTAGTCTGTTGTCAGTTGCTCATGAAGCTGCTGCAGGGACTCATGGTCTGACACAAAGGACTCATGTGATGTCTGGAGGTCCTCATGGTTCTGGATCAACAGTTCGTGTTCCGACTCCAGGGTGGACATCTGACTCTGCAGAGCGTTGTTGTGTGAAAAGAGAGACGAACACTTGGACTGGAGGGTCGTGGTTTCAACCTGGAGCTTGGCATTCTGAGACTGTAAGGCGACGAACTGCTCTTGGAGGGAGGATGTCCGGGACTGGAGGTTGAGATTCTGATCATCTAGTTTCTGAATGTGGTCATTCAGGTAGGTGTTCTGGCTTTTAAGGTTACTGTTCTCTGACATCAGTGTGGCATTCTGGAAATAGAAGACAGACATACTCAAAAGTCTCTACTTGATGCTACAATGTGTCTGATACCAATTTGTAAGTTTTTAAACACAATTTTTTGTGCAGCCATCAAAACAAAATATCCATCCACTGATTCACGTACAGTAACAGCCAACCTTGCTGTTGTTTTTGTTTACTGACGCCACTCAGCAATATTCCAGCTCTATGGCAGTGGTCTGTAAATAATCAAGTCTGGACCAGACAACCCAGTGATCAGTATCATGAGCATCAATCTAGGAACAGCCAACCTGAACTGAAGAATATAGACTTTGTATATAGTACTAATGCATTGATGCAAACATAAAATCCTCTTGAGGAAGGGAACATACCCCATGTGTGTTAACCGCCCTACTGGAGGTGTATATGAAGTACTTACCGTCCTTTCCACCTGCACCAGATGGTCCTTGAGATCCAGGATGTCCTGTGTGGCATGATGATGATGGTGATGCTCTGACCGCACAGACTCATTCTTCCTGTTACAACAGCAACAGAGTAAACATGACAAAAAATTTAAACTCTCCAATACTATAGCTTAATTAATCATCATAATGAACATCACAGGTGTAATGTTACAGGAAGAAGCTCCTGACCTGTCACTCTCCCTGTAGATCTCCTCTTCTTCATGTCTCTGTTTCAGCATCTCGGACTCACGTCGCGCCTCTCGCAGGTTCATTCAGCTTCTGGTTCCAGCTCTTTGACTCCTCCAACCTGAGACACCAAACAAGTCAACTTCATTGCAGATACTCTCAGAACACAAAAACTCTAGGACCACAATGTGCTGGATCATTTTCAAAAAGTGACCTTGACCTGCTGGAACTGTCTTAGTTAAACTAATGAGTGGAAGTCAACATCAGAACATTAGAGTGAGTGAGTGAGTGAGTTTGTTTTTACGCCGCTTTTAGCAATATTCCAGCAATATCACGGCGGGGGACACCAGAAATGGGCTTCACACATTGTGCCCATGTGGGGAATCGAACCTGGGTTTTCGGCGTGACGAGCGAACACTTTAACCACTAGGCTACCCCACCGCCCCCTCAGAACATTAGAACACACAACATGTGGAATGCACCCCATTCTATACAGTGATCCCACATAGCTATAGAACTACTGTCACAACTGATTAAAGGCAATTTTCAAAACATAGCTGAGCAGACCTTGCTCCTCCAAGTGCTATGACTTTCATTAGTCTGTGTACGTCTATGTAAAATAGCCATAACTCAGAGGTAACTTTGTGGAAAGCATTATCTTGTTGAACATGCTCAACACAAAAAAGGGACTCCTACTTTGAAGACATCACTTACATTCCTGCAGTAAACAATGTGTGGACAATGAATGTCTATTGAAAGAGATCATGCAGATTTAAAAAGGACAGTTATTCTCACCGGCTTTCTAATAGCTGTATCTTTTGCTCCTTCAAATCCAGGCTCTTCTTGAAGGCATCCTCCATCATGGACTCCAGTGCCTGGTAGCGACTGTCAAGAATCAAACACATCCCACATGTAGTGAGTACCTAGCTAATAGGACTGGGACGGGTAACCTAGATACCCGGGACGGGTGGGAAATCAGTTGGACCCGGGTACCTGTCTCAATACCCGGGACCCATTATGATCATGTGACTAATAGATTAAACAATGTAATATGTTATTCTTTCATGATTAAAAGGTTGTATTGTCTTTGAAGATTTAGATATAATTTACAGCCATCTGTTTTGAATAAAATACATGGTTAAGATATGGAAAAACTCCAAATTTTAGCCTCTGATCTGAAGAATATATTGCCATTTCTTACAATTTTTGTCAGGAATTAACATAACAGGTATCCGGGTAGGATAGGGTAATGGGGGTTGGGTACCCGGGTAGAAAATCTGGACCTGTCCCAATCCCATTAGCTAAACATCTGGGTTGAATAAAAACATGGTGTAACAATTACTCCTTCCCTACAAACACACTAAACTCCCTTTCTGGGTGTGAAAAGGATCCACAAGCTTGGAGTCATCAGTGTAAGAAACACTGAATAAGGTATCTGATTTCCTCATTAAAAAGATACTGTGAAACTTAATCATTTGAAATTCCCGTGGAGTCATGAAATGAGTTACAGTGTATGTTGCCAATCAATGTGTCAACATTAAACCTGTGTCAAGGATTCTGTTGGGTCTGTAGTGATACTGGAGTTACTGGAATTTGGGTCCACAAAGTTCCCGTCTTACCTATCGTCCTGCATCTGTTCAGCCATGACCAGCTTCTCCTTGTTGATGCCTACACGCTCCAGCTCATGTTTCAAGGTCTCCAACTCATTGCACAGAGTGGTGGACTTAATCTTTTCATTCACCAGGTCCTGAAGCACACAGAAGTATCAAGTCAGAAAACTAAAACGGACAAAATATAACTGTCTGTAAAATAACTCTTAGTTGTTACTAGAATTAGTTTTGGGTCCAGCATAAAAGCGCACGAGACTATTGTTACACTTATATACAGATACCTATGATTTGCAAAAGATTTGTTGTACTTTTCATTGACATTGTAACACAGCCCTCAGCAATACATTGAATATAAGATGGTGGTTTCAAAATAATCAACAATCCAATGACTGATATTATGAACACCAAAACATGCAACTGGGTGAGTTTGGTTTTATGCCACTTTTACCAATATTCCAGCAATATCACGGCGGGGGACACCAGAAATGGGTTCCACACAATGTACCCATGTGGGGAATCGAACCCGGGTTTTCGGCGTGACGAGCGAATGCTTTAACCACTAGGCTACCCTACCACCCCACATGCAACTGGGATACAATGACCATGTCAGTGAGCCTGACCACCCGATCCATTTAGTCGCCCTTTATGACAAGCAAAGATTTTTAAGGGGGCCCAATATTTTTACCAGAAATACCTACGGGTGAGCCATTGCGTTCTACCACCACACGACAATGTTCTACTTACCTCTCTGAGAGCAGGGATGGTCTTCTTATCCAGATGGACTTCCTGCAGGAGATCCTTGTTCTCCTTCTCCAGGTCCCGGACACGGGCGCAGGTCTCCTTCAGTTTCTCCATGGACTTCTTCAGAGACTTGTGTTGCTGCTCCAGAGCCGCGTTCGTGCCGTCACCTCCTCATAAGACGATTCTCGTACATCAAGCGACTGCCTAATTTTCTTATTCTCTTTTTCCAGAGCAACCTTCTCTTTTTGCAGTTCGCTCAATTCGGTTTCGGTCTCCAATGCTTCTTTCTCTTTCTCTTCTAACCTTTTGATTGATACTTTCATTGATTCTAATGTCTTAGCAAGCTTTTCATTTTCATTTTCTAGATCGCTGTTATCATTTTCTAACTGCTCCATCCTCCTCGTGGTGATATCTAGAGATTTCTGAAGTCTTTGATTTTCATTGTCTATGTCTAACAGTTCAAATTCCATCTGTTCTTGTTTTGCTTTATGCTGCTTCTGAGATTCCAAAGATTTCTTCAGCTGTTGTATTTCTCTATTTAACACATCCTTATCATTTTCTAACTGGAAATTTTTCTCTGAGGAATCACGTAAAGAGTCTAACGTTCTCTGTAGTTTCTGATTTTCCACTGTCAAGTTGATGTTCTGTTCCTCCAACTGTTCCTTCTTCCTGAGAGAATTCTGCAAAGTTTCCACAGTTTTGGACAACTTCCTGTTCTCCACATCTAAATCAGAAAGCTCTTGTTCCACAGTACTAAGTTTATCACAGGTTAATTCTAGCGTGGTAATCTGTTTATGCATTTCAGAATTCTCTTTTTCCAGTTTATTATTTTCATCCTCAAGTTCTGGCACCTTATCAACATTTTCCTTCAACTTTTGACACGACCTGTTTAATTGTTTTGTTTCAAACTCAAGTTTTGAAAGCATAGCATTCTTAGTTGTCACTGTTTCGTGGAGTCTTCGATTTTCCCTTTCCAAATCTTTAGTCCGAGCATCATTTGACTTCTCATTACGTTCCCGGAGAACATCAATGGTTTGGGCGAGATGCTCGTTCTCAGCCTCCAGTTCGCGCACCTGCCGATCACTGTTCTCTTTCACCATCTCAAGGGTGACGATCAACTTTTCCTTCTCCCGACAAAGCTCGTCCTTCTGCTCCTCCATGTCCAGACACTCCTGGGAAGCCAAGGAATTGCTTTCCTGGAGCTTCTCCAGCTTCTTGGAGAGTCTCTGGATCTCCTTCTCATTCTCCAGGTTGATGGCTGTGTTCTGGATCAGTGCATTCTCTGATGCTTCCTGGAGCTTCTCGTGCAGCTGTTGGTTCTCCAGCTGCAGTCGTAGGATCCGAGCATTTGACGTTTCACTCAGCTGGTCAGACAGGGAGCCACTTACAACTGAAACAGAGAACATTAATGTAATACACTGCACCAGTACTTTGGTCACAACAAAATACTACAACTGTCAAGGTCACGTTGTGACTAGTCCACATAATTAACATTAGGTTTCCTCACATCAACCTTCATGAGTTAGTGTTGCTGGCAGGTCTATGAACCAGATGGTACCACAGCAGTGTAATGAGTGTAATGCATGCTATTTATAGCTTTTCTGTACATGGTCACATGACTATCATAGAGAGTGAGTGAGTGAGTTAAGTTTTACGCCGCACTCAGCAATATTCCAGCTATATGGCGGCAGTCTGTAAATAATTGAGTCTGGACCAGACAATCCAGTGATCAACAGCATGAACATCGATCTGCGCAATTGAGAACTGATGACATGTGTTAACCAAGTCAGTGAGCCTGACCACCCGATCCCGTTTGTTGCCTCTTACAAGCATAGTCACCTTTTGTGGCAAGCATGGGTTGCTGAAGACCTATTCTACCCCAGATCTTCATGGGTCCCATCATAGAGAGCCTCGTTCTGATATAGAAACATGGCGCCGACGTAACCCTACATGTGCTAACCTAGGAATGAACATGACATGAAGGAATAAACACTACAGCAGTCCTCACCTCCTGGCCTGTGCCTGGCATCCTGAAGTTCCTGTTCCAGGTTGGCGCTCTCGTTCATTGAGTTCTTCTTGTCCATTTCCAGTCGTAAGATGTCTTCAGTTAGTTGCTGGATCTTCTCCCGGTCACCATCTCTCTCCTACAGAAGCAATGTGTACAATACAGTCTAGGGTACCTCTGACTCTATAGTCGGTGTTTTATTCAAGACAACCTACATCTCCCATTTGGCCCTATGTTACATCAGACAGCACGAGCAATGAGAGCCCATATAGCTGGGTTAACACCAACCCTGTCTCTGATAACACTAAACCTTGCATCATTTGTAGAAAACAGAGCACACAACAATCTATATCTACTCTACCTCTTTAAGCTTGAAGTCAGTCAAACATATAGTCTTTGGTAACTTGAACATCCACAATCCTCTCAAACTGTTCACTAAGATTATCCCAACATTACAGACAACATAAAAAAGTCACATCTCATTAGCAATGAACCTACGTCAAGACATACATCCTATCCCTCAACCTCTGTTGCATGTCTCAAGTCATGACTGTTTGTTTCTGTCAAAGTTTCAGCTCATCAGTAGCCATCAAGCAGCCGATACTTACAGCAGTCATTTCCTGGGTGAGCTCGCGGAATTTGAGCAGTTCATTCTCAAGTTCGCGAACAGTCTCAACTCTCTTGTGGCTGCTTGCCAGCTGGTCCTCCAGAACGGTCTTCGTCTCTTCTAGGATGTTGTTCTCTTCCCTCAGCTCCTGCAAGGAGGCACACACATTGAGTGAGTGAGTGAGTGAGTGAGTGAGTGAGTGAGTGAGTGAGTGAGTGAGTGAGTGAGTGAGTGAGTGAGTGTGTGTGTGTGTGTTGTAAGTGTAGTGAGAGTGCGTGCTGTGATTCAGTTAAACCAAGTATGAGAGAGTAGCAAGAGTGAGTTTGTTCTAATGCTGCTTTAAACAGTAACCAGTTATATCTCTGATGTATCTTTTAAAGTGGGATGAAAGCCCTAAGTTTAACAGGCCCAATCCTACTTTAGTGGAGTTGATGGGCACAATCACAGCGTTATGGCATGCTTAAGGGAAACATGTCTGTATTTGGGAAAAAAGAAGTAAAATTTACAGCGACAATACTTTTCTTTCTATACTGAAACATGCTCTGAATATAAGGATTAAAAACTGCCTTCTCACATCAAAAATGCATATATTTGTTTCTAAATTGTGAGATCTAATTACACAACAAAATGCTAAAATACATCAGGTAACATTTATGCCCATTTACCAGTAAGCTTGACTAAGTCTATTTCCCTAATGTACAGTAGGCCAGTAATTCCAGACTTTTAATGGGTGACCCTATACATTCATTAAATTGAGTCCCTGAACATTGTGCTGTACACAATCCAAATGGTAGTGTATGGATGTATTGGTAACACCAACATCTTCAAACACACAGCTCACATTATACAACAAACACTACAATAAATCTTTCCAAATTCAAGACAGGTCTTAAAAATTATTTCTGTGTTTTTTAAATGGGACAATGTTTGTTACTGTTGTTGTATGTAGGGCCTGTAGCTCACCTCCATGCGAGCCCGGTAGAACTCCAGCTCATTCAGTCGCTCCTTGTACTTGCTGATCTCCTTCTCGTACGTGTCAACCTTGCTCGCCTGTGGAGGGAAAGAACGCTCATGAGAACTAAAACACAACTTTGAGGTATTGCAATGAAAGTCTGAAGATTTCTTCTCTGATCAACTTTTCGGAACAAACATGTGTGAATCTCCACAATTATCAAAACATATTTCTGAAAATTGCTTTCAACCAAGTCACTCTGTCTGACCATGTGATCCATTCGATACCTCTGAGGACCTGAGGACCTGAATCTTTGATTTGTTTAACCCAACCCTCTTAACCATTTGGCTACCTAATGCCAAGGAAACAGTCCAAAGGTGATTAACAGTATTGTTTTACATCAACAGCACCATGGCAGCTTGTTGTTTTCTCGAGCAGGCGAGTTGAAGAAAGGTGTTTAACATCGCAGTCACCATTATTTCATCAACCAAACCAGTCAACCACACAAAACAGTGGTTGATATCATGAACAACATATTGAGCTGGTCACCGAGTGTGACAACCTGGGCCCCGTTTCACAAAGCTCTTGTAAGCCTAAGATCTTGTAACTTTTCTCGTAGCACAATCTTACGATTTTATGGGCGTTTCACGAAACTCTCGTAGGCTTACGATACCCTAAATTTACAATAAAAGTTACGGTAAGTATTTGCTCTCGTAAATGAGCTTTATTCTCATAAGTCAAAAGCAAAACCGTAAGTTTTCTCGTAACAACAAGAGTACTAAGATACTTTCGTGAAACGCCCTTAGCGTGGTATCGTAAGATATATCGTAGGTGTTACAAGATCTTAGGCCTACGAGAGCTTTGTGAAACGGGGCCCAGGTCAGTTTATGTTACCTGTTATGACAAATAGGTTATAAGGCACAAAATCCAGCCTATAATCTCCAGAGACTCACCGGGACTCTGGAGCAGGTGAATGTGGTAACAGCATCAGTGTGTGTACTATAAAACAGCCAATCAATGCTTGAGAGAATCTGGCTGTAATTCACATTACACTATTTCATGCATGGTTAACTGCATTTCAAACTGAGTCCCTGTCAGCCTACTGGGACCATCTACATGCTGCTGCTGCCACTACTCCTATAGGGTGTTCAAATATAATGTGAAGACACGAGGTCCATGTGGTTGGGTACTAGCATACAGGCACTTAAATTTTCTACTTTAGGCCAGACCAATTTTATTTTCCCTGCTCAAAATAAAATATATATATTAATTTTTCCCCGCTTATGTCTTTATTGGCCAAAAATGGAAACATACATGAAATTTTGTTTTTAGATTTTTTTTTGTTAACCCCATATACACTTCATAAATTGCCAAAATAACATACTTTGTGTCTTTAGAAGGAATATTACTTTGACTGGTGAGTTTATTTATGTATTTTTCCCCTCCTGCCTTTAACTTTTCTGAGGACAAAAATCTGTAAAACAAGAAATAAAATTGGTCTGGCCTAACATTGGGCTTGTAACAAGTGACACATTATTCATTACAGGGATTGGTGGGTGAGAAGTTCTCTATGCTTTAACAGTAACCCTCCAGTAGTGCTTGTCATATCGTTTGATGACTCTCCCAATGTCCTCTTACATTCTATTCATGACCTTCACTGAAAGGACAAAATGCATAAGCACTAATATTTCATTATGCAATGTCAACTTCAACAGGACCCTCCCCAAATATGTGAATTATTTTTTAGTCATGTTATGTCACCTCGGATTCCTTGCCACCATTACCATAATGCATGACTGGTCCCTAAGAAATCCTTTCACCCAATGTGTCAACTACTGAAGAGTCAGGTGAGGTGAAGTGAAATTGGGTTTAACGTCATGCTTGAGAATATTTCGCTCATATGACGACGTGCATTCGTGTGTATGTGTATGTGCAGCTGCTTGCACTAGCCCAGACTTAAGCTGGTTTTATAGTGCTAGCCCACTGAGATACCATGCCGCAGTGAAGCATGAATACCCCACTCAGACACATTATACTGACTCCGAGCCGACCAGTTATTGTTGTACCCATTAAATGCCGAGCGCCAGGCAGGGACCAACAAGTTACCATATTTTAACGTCTTTTGGTATGACGCGGTTGGGGATCGAACCCGCGACCTTCCGCTCTCTGGGCGGATGCTCTAACCACTACACCATGGCGACAGTCCTGAAGAGTCAGCATATGCAAACTTACTATACAAGTTAAAAAATCCAAGAAGTTGACTTCAATAAATGCTGCTACAAATCATTACCACAAGAGTTGAAAAAGCATGAACACATTACAGTAGGCCAAATGTCTCTGTCCATGACTAAGACCTCACTCCACACAAGCAAAGCCCTGCTCTGTTTAACATCTTAATGCCATGTCTCCACTTGCGCCTGTGTGGCGTATCTTGACACATCTCCTCTTTCTACAGCTGGAAATTAGTGAGACATGCTACAAAGCTTTCTCCTCCACACAACTACAGCCACTGTGGTGAATCATGAAACATCATCACATACAACCTGTACTGCCACAAGCTCTGCAGAGTCTTATCAACACACCACTCTGCTATAGTTAACATGGTGTGTCTTCAGACATTTCCACTTATAGTCTGTTTGCAGTGAAAACGTACCGATGAATTTCACTTTAAACAAAAAAGTAAATCAAATACAGTGAAATTAAGATTGCGAATCCTCATAATTTTACCTTGCCAATTGAACATTTAAATATCGGTTTTATTCATCTTAGGATAAAAGTTGTTTAACAACCGATCACAGTTTCAAATCGCTATTATCGGTTTGTATTACAAAGGGGTAAACGCAGTAGTTGGAACAGTGAAACAAATGCACGTGAAGTATGAGATGAGCGTTAACTCAGACCAAACCCACTTGTTCTCAGTGTTTCATTTAATGTGCATTCCCCCTTGTAATACAAACCAATAATAGCGACTTGAAACTATGATCGTTTGTTAAACAACTTTTATCCTATGTTGAATAAAATTCTGAGATTTAAATGTTCAGTTGGCAAGGTAAAATTATGAGGATTCGCACTCTTAATTTCACTTTATTTGATTTACTTTTTTTTTTTAAAGTGAAATTCATCGGTACGTTTTTGCTGCAAACAGACTATAATGCAGGCTGTACTGAGACAGGCTACACATAGCTATAGAACCAGCATGGTCTCAAAGCACATGTTAACATAACCCTTATCCTGCATATAACCCACTACAGTCTGTACTCACTGTTACATGTTACAACCATGTTACAAGCCTTTTCCTACATACACTACAGCCAATGCATTGTAAACAACAATACTGATCAAATAAAATGTCAATTCGAACAAGGAAATCAATCTTTATAATCTTAATTCTATCTGAAAGAGTCTGCCAAGATTGCATGATATCACTTCAGGGATCAAACTATGACTGACTTTCAGCAGGATGTAAAAACAGTTCTGGTGATTCTCATAACCTTTTCCTTCTTCCCAACTGACACACCAGGCCAAGTATTAATTCCTGTCTCAACCTACACACTACTTCCTCCTGATGGTCAACAGTTGCTCACAATACCCCCAAGGAGCATACTTTAAGTCAATTTTGAAAAATAGAAACTTGAAATATGTCTCCTGCCTCCTCAAATTTGATGAATTTCTGACAATAACCTATATTATAAGACAGTCAATGTAACTGTAACTTCAGTACAATCAGCTGACAATACTACAGCTCCATGACATAAATAGTCTGGACCAAACCACTGGTCGATAGCATGAGCACATACTGCAGTTGCCTCATGGTCATTCATGTTAAGCTCTTATAACAAAATTTGAACCTGAGAATTGCTAACTGGAAATTGTAACACTACATTATATAATTAACAGTAGTTTGGATCTAAATAAACACTCAGTAATATTCCAGCTGTATGATGGTGGTCTTTAAATACTGAATTTGGACCAGATAATCCACTGATTGACATCATGAGCAATTTGTGCATTTCGCTACAATTTTATGCTTTGACCTAATCAGCAAGCCTTGACCACCCCATCCTGTCAGTTGCTTTTTATGATAAGCATGCATAGGCTGCTGGCCACTTCAAACCAGGATCTTCATGAGGGATAGGTACCGTAATATTGGATCACAAGTAGAATGTGGCAAGCAGTCTACAGTAAGGAAAGGCATTTGCTTTACCTTATACCCAGGAACATACTTGTCCCATACCATGTAAGCTGGTGGTGGGATGGGCTCGTTTAGAAATACAACCTGCACATGTATCTGGAAGTGATATTATGATGAATTATCATATTACTGACCATTCCTTATATGACAGGAATAGAATTTTTTAAATTGGCTTTGAGCTGAAGCCATCATGACACATTATTTAAATAAAGGGTTTTAAAAATGATAAAATGAAACAATAATAATTTCCTATTATCACTGTTAGTCCACACAGCTTGTTAGAGGGACCCATCCATTGGCTCAGTAAAACATATTGACAAGTGGTAAAACTGCAGGTAATAACTCACTGCTATGTACTAGGTGATATCTTCATGAAAGTGGACACAATTACACGTCATTGCGGACAGAAACTCTAGATTTCTATTTACAGGCCTAATACTTCAGCTACAGATACACTTGCTGGAAAGGAGGCCAGTATACCTTGGTGTGGGCAACTGTTGTAACAGCTAACAGATAACACTGTCGATAACACACTGGCAGCCGCACCAGACATCAGCGACAACTGATAAACTTTGTCAAATTCCAAACTCTCCAACTACTGTGTAACTGATTTTTCAAACCCAAAATATATCTGATGGGACTGTGACATAGTGAATAAATCATAAATAATAGTGAATATAGAAAATGCAACAAATATCATAATCATCAAAATAATAATTTGATGCTTTTCAAAATCTTTCCTAGAAGGTTTAAAATTGATCACAGCCAACACATACCATTAATTCTAAGCACACCTGTACACACCTGAATTTTGACATAAACTATTTTAAGACCAGAAACTGTTGCATATCAGTCCTTACCGAAGCCATGTGTCCACTGGTCAACCTGTGTTTTAGTGAAAGTATCGATACTGTATCCAGTGGTCAACCTGTGTTTTAGTGAAAGTATCGATACTGCATCCACTGGTCAACCTGTGTTTTAGTGAAAGCATCAGACAACTTCAGCCTTCTTCTTCTGTCAACACTATGTGACTGTGTTTACAAGTCACTCTCAAGTAACCTGCCACCAAGTGGACACCTGCTTACCATCAACCCATAACACATATTATTTCTGATGACAGTCCATCATCACCTGCCAACCATCACTCAGCTGATGGACAGAGTGACAATATGATGGGAAACTGGACCATGTCCATTAACTTCATACTGACCTTCTCCTTAATGATATCCAGCTCGTCTCTCAGAGCCCGAGTTGCCCGCGCGTCTTGGGTCAGATCAAGGTTCTGAAATAACCACAACAAAATAACACTCTCACACAAAACACATCCTGTCACGGTGAAGTCATCGTCAATGGACTTCCCACCGTAAATCTGAATGATTCCATTCCACTATTATCCATCAGATAAACAAACTCATAGGTCTCCTTAACCAGCCTCAAGTCGACACGCTTGCAGCCCGCACATATACGGTGAGGTCACTCGGGCGGAACACAGCCTCACTCAAAACACACTTATTTGTCAGAGATGAGGCGGATCCTATCATCGCACAATGTACATACTAGGGTCGGCTTAAGGAATCTCAAAAAGTGGGTTTTACTCGTAACACTAGCAGTCAGTCAAGTAAGACTAAAATAGCCACGGAAAGGAATGCTACCCACTACGCAAGTTTTTTTTTCTAGCATAGAATGACATGTATGTCTCAAGTTCACCACATCGTCTATATGAAACCCAGATAGTGATCTGTAATGAAACCTCAGCTTTATGTTTAACCTGAGGCTTGGTTTAATTCTCATCTTCTCATGTAGTTTGTAACCTGTTCAAACTGTAAACTCAAATCTGAGGATCTAGTTAAACAGGAAAACATGTAATCCCAAATATCAGGTTATTGTCCTTACAAGCCTGTCAGATGTAATCCAATGGGCTGGAGAAATTCTATAGTGCATGTAATTAGATGAGAGTGGCTGACACGTTATCAGGGACTGAACAAGAAGGGGTTGTCACACAACAATGTAATTTTTTTTTAAAAAAAGAAATGAATAACCTGAGTCCATCAGATCAAGTTTTGTCACAATTTTCCTTCGTCCAAATTACCTTAGTTTCATGACAAGTACTTGTAAACTCAGTTTAATATTTTTAACACTTCATCAGATCAAGTCACAATAAATGTATAATCAATGTTTCTACACCAGACTACACCATACGAACATATGCTTTTCAAATGATGAAAAATGTTTTTCTATGTTCCTGGATAAAAACACTACATCTTAAAGTTTAACATGAAATCTGAGATATCAATTTACAAATGAAATTTCAATTCAAAATTGATGGACAAACTCTCAGAAAATCAGAAGCGATTTTCTCTTATGTCATGTTCTGCCTGTATCGACAACCATGCAATAGCAAGTGATTAACCATGCTGAGTAAATAAGATCAGCATGTACACTCAGTGTCAATCAGCTCCCAATTATATCACAATACATGTCATTGCAATACAGGTATCTGTATTGTGATATATAGAAAATCTCACCCGAGTGTCTTTTGATATCAAATATATCACCACTAGTTGATAAAGTAACAAATATCCGAGGCTTGCTGAGGATATTTTTACTTTTATCAATGAGTGTTGATATATTTGATATCAGAAGACACGAGGGTGAGATTCTATTTATCATAAAAAATCACTCTTCATTAGTTTTCAATGAAAAATGTACATCTCTGAACAAAGTACTGCCATTAGATTTGCAGTGTAGCGATGTCATAACATTGTGACGTCAACAAGTTCATGACGTCATAGCATTGTCAGGGCATTGTACAAAATCTACTGTCAAAACGATATCTCACACAAGCGATATCTACTGTGGAACACAGTTTTGGATGATAAATTGGCATATATTGATATGCAATGTTTTTGCCAATACAGAGCCCAATGAAGTAACCTTTTTATGATAAAATGATGAAACTGAGTCTCACCTCATTCCGGAGTTTGGCCATTGATCCTTTCGTGTCCTCCAGCTCATCCTTGATGTCAGACAACTGTTCTTGTTTCTCTTCCCTGGAACAGAAACAGATTGTCAGACAAAGCTAAATATGGTTTTGTCAGTCAGCTGTTTAATGCCACACTCAGCAATATCCTGGTTTTATTACCCACAAGGTCAACGTATGGGTAGTTGCATACTAATATCGTACGTCACACAAGTGTCGTATCGCGTTGACCTGTGACTTGACCTCAGATTCTAACGATTTGATTGGATAACCCGATGACCTCTCAATTAGGTCACATTCTGATGTAACTATTTTTTCATTCATAACAAACACGTGAATTCATTCATTCTACAACTTAAATGCATTGTGGGAATGTAAACATTGCGAAAGGTTGCCGTGTCGCTGTTTAATTGTGAGTTGAACTGAGACAAAACATAAACGCAATGTTTCCACCAGTGATGTTAGCCGAATGAAGCAACTGGAAACCAAGAAACGAGGTGCTACGGAGTAGTTTACTGTAGGAGGCTGTACGAGGCGATGACAACTGACATGCATCGTGACGTCGGTTACCAAGGCAGTGACATCATTACAGTGTGACGTCATGCAAATATTGTACTACAGTACAAAACTCTTCTGCAACCTCTTTATGGAACCGGTTTCGGTTTGAAACCAAAAACATAACAAAAATACGCAATTTTGTCAATTTAATGCATGTAAGACATGGGTAATAAATAAAATACCACACTCGGTCTCATTACATACGAATTATATACTGTGAAACTTCCTGACGTTTTTGCGTTTACGATATAATTAAGTTAATGTATGTATGAGACCAAGTGTAGTATTCTCTATATATCACAGTGGCCTATATGTGGACAAGACAATCAAGTGATGGATATTGTCAGCAATGATCCATGCTGTCTGGGAACAATGAGATGCCTCCAACCAAGCCGGAACCTGATTTCCTGATCTATCTGTCAGAATCCATGTTCAATATCGCACCCAATGTGGTCACCTTGAGTGAGTGAGTGATTTTGGTATTACACTGCTTTTAGCAATATTCTGGCAATATCACGGCGGTGGACACCAGAAATGGGCTTCACACATTGTACCCATGTGGTGAATCGAACATGGGTTTTCGGCATGACGAGCTAACGCTTTAACCACTAGGCTACCCAATGCCCCTGGTTACCTTGAAAAACAGAAGGTAATGACACATGGACAGACATCGGACACTGCTTTGAACAGTTCCTCAGTTTACTTATATTACATTAGGTTAATATGGGATGAAGGTTGTAGATGCCTACCAGACCAGTCCATCAAGCAAAGTTTGATGTGACAAAACTAGGATCAGTTGATCCTGGACCTGCTTCTTGGAAACATAGTACACAGTGAAACTTATTATTTCAGACAAGACCACTCTCCACTTTCTGTTTCTAAACACCATTTCTGTAGTCATGAATCACTGACGTTCCAAATAGGACTGACTGACTGAGTTTAGTTTTAGGCCGCTTTTAGCAATATTCCAGCTATATCACGGCGGGGGACACCAGAATCCAAATAGGAAAACACAGTCATAGCAACACGGAGAAAATCTACTCTTCCAAGTCAAATTTCAATCAGCAAATACACACAATGCCAGCATCAGTAACCATATTTCCATGTAATATTATTTTTTAATCAAATAAGGCCAGACCAATTATATTTCTTGTTTTATGGATTTTTGACCTCAGAATACGTAAAAGCAGGAGGAAAAAATAAAAAAAAACAAAAAAATAAATAAATATCACCAGTCAAAGTAATATTCCTTAGAAATACAAAAAGTATTTTACTTTCGGGAATTTATGAAGTGTATATGGGGCAAAAAACAATCTAAAACATTTTCTTGCACATTTACATTTTTGGCCAATAAAAATATCAAAATTTTATTTTTTGAGCTGGGAAAATTAATTTTAATTTTTTTTTCTCATTCTTGAAAAAATACAACTGGTGGATCCATTAAACAAGAAATAAAATTGGTCTGGCCTAATATTATGTTATTTGTTTTGGCAGCTGTGAAGTGAATGATGAACAGATAACTTAGGATAACAAAGCGCTATATATATTATATCTATTAACGCATGTTAGGGTCATCTTCATATGTATATCTACAAGGAGTGTCACTGATATCAACAGATCCAAGATACTGGCAGCAGCAAAAGCAACAAAAAACAAAGTTCATTTACCTGTAAAACACTCTCATGATCCAGTAAACTACATCATATAACTGCATCCAACCCGCATACATAACAACCATCCATGAATGAGACTTCATCATATCATATCAACAATGACAACTTAATTTCTATCTTGGTACCAAGTTAGTTTTCCAACAAATCCAAAGCTGTTTCTGTCCTCCCTTCCCCAGAATTTGCTGCCATAGCTACAGACTGTGTTTGAATCTCCCTCGTCAGTTAGAGCACAGATGTCCACCTTAACCCTCTCCCTGCTGCACTGTGATCTAGCAGAATAGTCTGAATCAGGCTGACCAGATGGACAAAGACCTGTGGTACTTGACCACCTGGGAGGCAGCTAATTGAGGCCATTCATGATGGTCAGCTGAGAGGGGTGACACCTCCCCTGAAACAAACGGCCCTGTGGAGTCTGGGACCTCACTCTACACTATCATTTGTATGTGTCCACAACAGGAGCATCAGTATCAGTCTCAGACAGATGCTCGGGGCAGTCCCAGGATAAACAGTTCTAACAATACCATAAACAACCTAGCAAAACAGAATTAAGAATATTCAATTGCTGTAGAAATATTTACACAATGCATAACAAGAAATCAAGGAGGTTCTGAAGAGCCTGAATATTTCGCTGCTCTCTCTCCTATTTTTATCTGTATGTACTGAATGTGAAAATAACCCATACTTTCATTCTTAAGTTCAAATAACACGTAAACAAATACTGCACACTAGCACAAGCTCAGCATCTGTAATTTCCAACCATATCTCAAATGTTTCTATAAAAACAGGACTCATTTCTTTCATATTACTTATGTTCTGTTAGCTTCTCTGTGTCAGTAGCTTGTGTTTGTGCAATACGAAATTTTCTTTCCTCAACATACATGAAAACAATGCGATTTTGAGAGGATTTTGTTCCTAATCCCACAGTCAAACCTTCACATCATGAACCTGACCAACATATTATTGTTATTACACCAGGAAATTCTCTGCAACTATCTTTCTACATTCACTGTAGTTGAGTGTTTCAATGTATCCCGATAGTCTGTGCCCAAAACTTCAGCTAACCTTGGCATGACTCTTAGCATCAGTTTCATCCAACTTAATGTTATGTGGATTATATTAGTTAAGCTTACTATTCCATACAGAATTATACTAGATATTCAGCCTACAGTGGCTAAACTGCCATACAGACCTTGATACAAATATGTCAAATACAGCCCATGCAAGTCTAGATTATTTGGCAGGTCTAGATTATTGCAGTTTAAGGCTTAAAATGAAGAAAGTCTCTTGGCTCATTTTCATCATATTTTATCAAGATGGTTGTTTAATTTTAAAATATGTTTATTTCTGCAACTAGATGTTGTCTGTTAGTCATGGCTAAATGCACAGACTTGATAAAAAATCCTTTGCTCAAATCCCAGTAAACTTTAACTGCCAGCCATGTTGCTAGCTATACCAACAAATGAAGACATCTGCCTGTCTTCACCTGATAACCCATGGCCCATGGTCAAGGATGTTGAATCAATTATAGGGGCTCACGCCTGTGTTTACTTTGTATAAGGGGGTTCAGGAAGGGGGTCGCTGGAGGGTAAGCTGTATTAGTATGTCAGAGAGGGGCTTGCTCTATGTTTGTAGTGGGTGTAGGGGAGTGTGCTCGCTCCAGACTGGACACTTGGTCAAGCATACCTTGAGCATGCCAAGCATACTTCCTCTATCTCAGCTTTTCAACTACGCAGTCTCATAGAGATAGAGGCATGACAGGGGCATCTGGTTTTAAATCATCTTTGCTCATCACAAACAACCATGTTGCTGGACAGAGTGAGAGAGTGAGTGAGTGAGTGAGTGAGTGAGTGAGTGAGTGAGTGAGTGAGTGAGTGAGTGAGTGAGTGAGTGAGTGAGTGAGTGAGTGAGTGAGTAAGTGAGTGAGTATGGTTTTACGCCACTTTCAGCAATATGCCAGCAATACAACGGCAGGGGACATCATTTTACCCATGTGAGGAATCAAACCCGGGTTTTCGGCATGACAAGTGAACAGTTTAACCATTAGGCTACCCCACTGTCCCGGACATACCAAACCAATAATAACTGACCAGCCATTACACAAAATGACCTCAGTACTAACACAATCATACATCCGACAACAGTCATAGTGTTAAGATCCCTTTGAGCAACAGGCAAAAGGGGATTGTTAGTAAAGTTGGACTGGGGTATAATTTCTGGTTCCCCTTAAAACAGGGTATATTCTTATTTCAACAACAGAACTTTTTTTCAAATACCATTTCCCCAAACAGGAGCAAATTATTGTTAATGTTTTTCCAATCCAGAAATTCAAGTATACTACTCAAGAACTACTATTCAATGATACACCAAACTGTCTATTAATAGGCTTTCCAACATACACAGAACTAAACATCACACTATCTCTGTTAAAACCTGACGGATATTTTAATATAGAAGTAAAAAATAGCTGATCAGGGATATTTTACTTCCTGACATAAAGAAGTAAAAAATAGCTGATCACTGTTCCAATAGATATCGAGAGACATCTATTAGTATATACCAGACATTGTGGAACTAGCACAGAGCTGGGCATCTCTTGTGAAGCCCGTTCACATCCATGTTGCTATAGTTTGCGTCAGACACACAGTGATATTTCAGTACAGGCCTGACTCTAGAAGGAGCCTGTACAGCAGTTCAGGATCTCTGCATTCCTGTCATTCTTAATGTGGCTTTATAACTGTAATCAAGTGTTGGAAGGTAAGCCTTCACTTTGGGCCACGCTTTGTGATTTTAAAGGCGTTGTTACTGATTTGCTTCAGTTGAGATGAATGATGACACTCACACTAGAGAAATAGTATGTGCAGGTGAGTCCTGAAGCTCAACACATACCGAAGAAAATACCTTACAAAATATCATCATTGTCATCGTCACTATCATCATCATCATCGTTGTCATCATCATCATCACTGATTCAATTGTCTTACACCATGTCCGCCAATTTGTTTCATGATACTAAAACAGTGGCATATGACATATGGCTGTTTCATGGGATACTCAAAATAGTGAAAAGAGCACATATATAATTGATCATATGCCAAATGGCTATTTGAAAACAAACAGAGGGATAATAGCTCAAAATCAGCCTGGATGTACAAATGATTCCCTTATGTGAGGGTTAATAAAACTGAACCATGAAACTGAACCATGAAATGAATTTTGTGAATTGTAAATATAGCACAGTCAGCAATATTTATACAGAGGCTGTGTCTTTCTGGGACTGCATGTCAGTCTACGTCTACTGATGTGATGATACTTATGGTACATGTTGAGCAGAGTTATTGGCAACCCAATACCACCATTATACCAAGCATGTATTTGTGGAACTACTTCCCTGTGGGATCCACACAAACATTACGAAGGATTGGCTGGTTCATATCCCAGAAATTGTCTATGTCTAAAACATCCAGCAGATGTTTTCAAATTAAGAAATGATCAGAAGACTCTCCTGTAAGAAAATGTCCTAAATCAGTGCGACACAATTAATTGTAAACTAATTAAGCAATCAGCAGACAATCTTAATCCTCGACTTCAACAATGATGACAGAAACGTGGGCTAAACGAACACTACCATGACACTATTTCCCTCCAGGTTAAGTACAAAGACAAAGTCACTATAGACTGTCATCCCAGACAAATGGGCCGAACATGACGGACAATCATAGCAACATGGTGTCTGACAGGGCAACAAGGTCGGTCATCTGAGAAGACAGCTGATGGACATGGTAACAACAAAAGACAGGCAGTTCATAATGTCAGGTAACGTGGCAGGTTCAACAGGTCCACTCAGTAGGTACAAGGGTATACTGTATGTTTGTTGTGTAATGAGACACTTCAACATATGGTGGTAGTAAATGCCAGGGTCCCGATCCACAAAGCGTTTGTTGTGCTACGACATTCAAGTAAACGCCTACTGACTGACTGAGTTTAGAGTTTGAGCACGACAGGTCATAACGTTATGAACGCTTTGTGGATGGGGACCCTGGCTACCCCAGTCCCCAAACGTTAATTCTTTGTGATGGACTGAATGAGCATTGATCCACACAATTGAGTGAGTGAGTCAGTTAAGATTTTATGCCACACTCGGGAGCATTCGAGCTATATGGCGACTGTCTGTAAATAATCGAGTCTGGACCAGACAATCCAGTGATCAACACCATGAGCATCGATCTGTGCAATTGGGAACTGATGACGTGTCAAACAAGTCAGCGAGCCTGACCACCGATCCCGTTAGTCGACTCTAAAGACAAGCATGGGTTACTGAAGATCAATTCTAACGTGGATCTTCACAGGTCTGCACACAAATGGGTATGATGACATGCGTCAGCCAAGTTAGTTTGACAATCTAATCCACACTCAGGCCCAGCGATCACTAACCATCACACCATTTTTAATTTGCACATGACTGACTTTCTTCTTGTTTGTTAACAAACACACTTATCTTGAAATGAGAGCAGTCTGAGTTATGAAAGACTTGCAAAGTGATTTAAAATTGCTTTGGATAATTAGAGAAAACTTTAAAAACTACAGGGCTTTGATGTCTGTATGTGGCACCATATAAACATTACAAAGAGGCAATTAAATTGCAAATGGAAATATTTTTCATATATTAGGTTAGTTTTTCAATTTCATAAGATGTTTATCTAAAACTGAAACAAGAAACATGTATTGTAGTTTGCTTAACTCTTTCAACACCAGTCAACAAAAGCCTTTTACTGCCATGACACCGAGTTCCCAGAGACTCTGAGGTCATAGATGGAGCCTATGTTTATCAAGGAAAATATCAGCTTGTAAAACATTATTGCTACTACATATCATACATCATTTGAAAGGTCTAATCCTACTGTTTATAAATATGAATTTATTTTTGATCATATTATTCAAATAATCCAACTACAATGTAAATAATTTAATTTTTAATGAAAATGCAAGCTTAAAAATTTATAATGTCCAGATAAACCACGAAGGGAGCAAAAAATGCAGCAATTTTTTCCATTTGTTACATGTCATAATATCCCCTTACCTTTTTCTTCTATATTTTCATTTTTACGTAATCGGAAAATTATTTTTAAAAAGATTTCTCAAATAATATGAATGGTCATCTATTTCCCGATATCAGTGACTTTCCGCTCAGTAATATGATACAACAGCGGGAAATACCTCGGTTTTCGAAGCTTCGTATGAATAACATGTGAGACGATTCGTTTGATGGTGGGTATCGTTCGAAAGCTCTGAACATCAACAATATCACTGTACCCTTGCCAAGAGTATTTTCACAGTTGTAAGAAGCGATTGTATTGGATAAAAATTCGTTTCTAATGATGCTTTTTCGCCACAGTCTGATATAAGCATTGTGATTGGTTAAAATCGTACACATGACCTAAGGCAGCCAATCATATTACAGCAATGGATACCGTTCTCGTAAACGAAAACTAATGATTCAGACGAAAGTTTTGGGTAAATTCTGAACGTGTTACGCAATAAATCACCACCTATATATATATATATTATGGAACTTAGTGGACGTTTTGTGCTAGGTTATGACCTGTGACAAATATGCTTCATGCATATATTTTAGCATTAAACATCATGTCCGAGCGTGAAGTTCAAGGCGACGAAAGCCGAGATGTCACTTGCATTACAATACACGATCGCTCAAAAAAGATGGAAATAGTAAGTTATAATGTACATTTGACAACTTTTATGAGTACTGTTGTGGATTTTATTCTTCAGTTTATTTAACTATTTTCTCGAAACATCGTTACTTTGCTCTTTGACAACTTTGCTGTGGACCCTTGCCGAAACATGTGTCCGAGAATTGTTTTTTTTTCAATAACATTGCGAAAATAGTTTATAATTCTAATCCTGTCGATAATATATGGACATTTGAAATTTAATAAGCTTTTTCAGACATTGTGAAAAGTGATAGATTTGATAAAAGAATCATATGTTAGTTATATTCCTAAAATTATAGATCATTTTGATGCGACTACTGCCTGGCTGGTTTACCGGCCTACGGTGTCTGGGGACTGTGACGTCTTGGCCGGTTTTCCGGTGTTGAATGGGTTAAGAGATTGTATATGATGTGATAGACTAAGGCTAAGTCACTGAATATATATCATTTTGATAGTAACAAATAATCTCATTTGAATTGAAAAGGAGCCCCAGTGAGATGGTAGATTCAGAACCTGAGGAAATCTAGACTTGCTTCATTTAGGGCTTTAGCATTGCAGGGAGGGCTAGGCAGAAGGAAAAATAATGTGGTTCAGGGACTGGGACAAGTCTTTAAGGTAAAAATTAATAATTTAAATGATAATTTCTTAAACATAATAAATAACAAGACTGATGTCCTTGTACTGTCTGCATATCTAGACTTGCCTCTTTGAAGGCTTGAATTACAATACATCCATGGGCTCAGCATTCAGGACAGCCTTGGAGCATGTCTAGGACTGTGAGACAGACTAATGATGTGACATCACCACATCTTGCTGGCCTTTGGCCGACCACAAGGAACAAGGTCCAAGAGAGTGACCTCTTACAACAAAAATAGGTTAATGGGGACCTGTTTTTTACCTGGAATCCCAACAGGTCAAGGGCATACTGAATTTTCTCTACTAAAAGAACTATGCTCAACTGGTGCCCATTCTCCTTTCATGTTGTATCCTCCATGTAAATGGGACAATATGACTGCGTTAATAGGTATATCATTAACTGACAGACATCCACCACACAAACAGAATTTAGCGAACATTACATCTGGAATGTCTTGAATCAAATTTGCAGAGCAAGTCTACTGTATTTGTACTGCATATTTTAGTTTGTTGTACGGGCAGGTCTTATTTTTCTTCCATGCAAATGGCACGCACCCAGAAATACAAAATTAAAACTTCAGTCCTGATGATTACACAATGCCAATTAGAAAGTGGTCAAATGTAACACATGTTATATTTTGGGATTACACTTTCTTAGTTAAGTACAAATTCTAGTACTTTTTGAGTTGAGTTGAGTCCCATCCGGGATTTGAACCCACACCCTCAGAGTCAGGCACTTAATCGCAAACACGTAAAGTCAGCTGCCTCACACTTTGTAAATCCCAAATATAACACACGTTTCAGTCCTGATGTTTGAAACTCAATTCCCGAAGTCCCCATTTGAAGCATACAAAAATTATAACGAGACTTACAGTTCCTGTCTAGTGCGACGTAGCTTGGCCTTGGACTCAGCGAGTTCCACTGCTAGATGATGTTTCTCGGGGGTGACAGTGGGGACTACAGGAGCTGCAGCACCCTCAGCCTGGGACTGGTAGAAGTCTCGCTCCTGGGACAGGTCCGTCATCAGCTGCAACACATAGGGGCACTTAAGTACACAAAGGATACTTGAATACAGAGGGAATACTTGAATACACAGGGGGTACATCAATACAGAGGATATCTGAACACAAATGGAGTACTTGAATGTATAGGTTTACCTGAATATACAAGGTACTTGAATACATACAGGATACTTGAAAACAGAGTACCTGAATACCCAGGGGTACCTTAATAAAGAAGGTACTTGAATACACATAGGTTACTTGAAGACAGGTAGTAATGGTTGTACATTGTGGATTCATGTATTAATTACTTCTTAAACATTTGCCAAAAAAATGCTGTTTTTCTTAATAACTTGAACATCACATGGGAAGAATAAAACCAAATCTACTTTTGTTGAGTGCAGTACTTAATTTCAGTAATGAACAGAAATTATTGTCCAGCCAACTCACTCCCTAAATTTAGGACTATAGTTTCCGATATAATAATTTGACTATCACTCAAATTAGAATACGTATAAGCAATCACATTTTAATATCCATTGTTTAAAAAAATCCCTTGTACAGTTTGTTTGGTGTTTAATATTGCACTGAGCAACGTGACAGTGGCCTGTAAATATTTAAGTGTGGACCAGACGATCTAGTGACTGACGTCATGAGCATCGATCTACACAACTGGGATACAATGACTTGCGTCAACCTAGTCAGGGAGCCTGACCTCCCGACCCCATCTGTTGCTGTTTATTACAAAAAAAAATTGTTGCTCAAAACCAGCCCTAACCTATATCTTCACAGGTATTAAGAGATACCAAAACAAGAACAAATAAACATAAACTGATCATTCAGTTTTAAAACAATATCTATACACCAACTAAAAGGATGAAAGGCAGGGCAGTAATTATTTTCATAACATGAATGTTAGCCACCTCACCAGGGCTTCAACCTTATACAGGCATGTATGACAATGCAAGTTCTGTTGTACTGAGTGACTCAGTCCCGAGTTCTGAAAGTGCACCGTCTATCAAAGGGTGATGGCAGCAACGTCAACACCAGACAGTAGTTGACAAGTGTGCAGTTGCAGACATTACGTCAGACTGAATCACCAACTGCCATCCATGCTTCCTCCTTCATATATATCATGCCCCTGGAACCCTGTGTCACCCACCATCAACTGGACCTGCTCAACGACCTGTTCCCAGTGACTAACTCCGAACATCTAACTGAGTGGTCTATGCTGTTGTATGTTGCAGTATTCCAGATATAACACAACCACAACAGAGTCAGGCCAGGCAGACCCAGTTTAGGGGCAATGATAAAAAAGAAAAAAAAACACACAGATAAAAAAAACAACCCAAAACCCAAAACAAAGCAACAAACAAACAAAACAACCTGTTTGAGTGTGTGTGTGTGTGAGTGAATTGGGTGTTATGCCGCTTTTAGCCATATTCCAGCAATATCACAGCGGGGGAAACCAGGAATGAGCACGTACATACATTGTGTACTCATGTTGGGAATTGAACCCGGGCCTTTGGCCTGTCGAGAAAATACTTTAACCACTAGGATACCCCACCACCCCAATGAAGTCTGACCTTTCATGAGGAGAATAGTCCAATTCAATTTTTTCCATTTTTAACAAATGAGGAAGTTTGTAAGAGCAGTAAATCATGACATATGAAAAACTGAAACACGTACATTCGGAACCTGGATTTATCATTTACACTTGAACAGGGTGACACACTCACAGACTCACAGCTGATGATATTTTACAACTGCTTCAACTCATAACAAGGTACTGACAGACTGACACCTGATGGGTTCATCAGACTGAGATTTTACAGCAGCATCACTGACTCATCAACACTGATAAAATATGTGATTCCCACATCCTGATTCTAATCAATACATTATCTTTCCTTAATCAGTCTTTGACTGTTCATATTTGTGCATATTACTCAGATTCAGAGCATGAAACTGATTTTGTCCCTTCCATTGCCTACTTGACCGGGTCGTTTATCAAATTTGTTACTTGATCTCAAATACAGGTAATAATAATAATAATAATAATAATGCATATTTATATGTGCGCCCAATCCACCTCGACAGACATGCTCAAGGCGCTACAGAGTCAAGTATGAACATATGTACAGAAGTAATACAAGAGCACATTAAGGTAGATACTGCTGGAAGAAGTAGGTTTTAAGTTTGGACTTGAACAAGTCGAAATTGTCAATAGTTTTGAGGTCATAAGGAAGAGAGTTCCAGAGAGTAGGGGCTGCATAGGTGAAAGAACGCTGTCCGAAAGTTTTCAGTCTGAAGGAAGGCACAGTGAGAAGATCCTGGCTGTTGGAACGAAGATTGCGTGAATTGGAGTATGGTGACAACATGTTAGACAAGTATTGGGAGCAAGACCGTGCTTGGCTTTGTAGGTAGATAACATCTTCATTTTGTGAGAGCACACACATAAGCTTCATCATCGATCTGCACCTACAAAGTCCTTGGATGAGGGCGTGGCTGTGGGTCTTCACACTCCAGGAAACAAATATTGATTGTTTAATGTCGCCGTTCTGCTTCAATCTTGCTTTGTTTGCATATCATTTGCTGAGCTTCATCAACACAGATGCACTATTGATTATCTTCACATCTTTTATGGAAGATTACTGAGACATTCCGATCAATACCAATTAGTTCTGATGGCTCCATATTGATGTTTTCCTTCATGTAATTATTGGGTCGGCCTCTTCTTGACACCACCAGAAACAAACAGCAATGGGAAACAAAGTCTACAATTCAGTGAAATGATTGTACCAATTCTTTCCATTATCTCACGAGATAGAGAGTGAGTGAGTGAGTGTGTGGGTTTGATTGAGTGTGTGGGTTTGATTGAGTGCGAGTGAGCATGAGTGAGTGAGTTTAAGTGAGTGGAGTGAGTGAGTGAGTGAGTGAGTGAAGTGAAGTTTTGCTCAATGCGGCAGTCACCATTATTTTAGCTCTACCATGGCCCTTGTAAACAACTAAGCCTAGACTAGACAATCCAGAGGTTGATATTAAGCCCATATTTCTGACACATAATGACATAACCAAGTCACCATCCTGACTCAACAGGCCCATTGTCATTTTGCAGCAAGGAGCATGTGCCTAATACACCAGACTTTAACCAACACTGTCAATACACTAAAGGGAGACAACTCTTGCACGACTGAGACATGTTCACCTTGTGCTCAAACATTATAAACGTTCCAAGTGAACGGCAATAGAAGTACCTCTGAGACATCGTCCCTCTCCTTGATCAGCCTGGTGAGGTGCGTAAACATCTTCTCCGTGTACGCTTCCAGCTCTGCTGGGGGCTCGATGGGGAGGACAGCCTCACTGTCATCTGTGATCTGGAACACGTAACGCCAAAAATGAATGTCATTTCATCATGCATATACTCATGGAAACAAATAAGGGAACACATGAAAGTACAAGTGTTCCTTTATTCTTTTCCAGGTTTCTTCACAAGGTATGTATTGCACTGTGAGTGAAATTCTGGAAATATATAAAGGAACACTTTTACTTTCATGTGTTCCCTTATTCGTTTCTGTGAGTATATTTCATTTTATCTTAGAACATCCCATCCTCAGCCTATCACAAGATTCACGATCACACAGGACAGGTCAAATCACTTAACATGTCAGAATAATTAACAAGGTCATCCTACAATTAACCATGAGCTCGCCAATTTCTGATCAAATGATCAACAGTGAAAGACTGACTGTGATATTGAAACTACTAGCAAACAAGGATAAGTTGGACCAGCGCAGAGAACGCGTTTACGAAAAGTAGGCGAGTGCACAGAAATGAGCAAAACCGTTTGGTTTGTGAAAGGTAGAGCAGATGTAGGCTCGTGCACGTGCATTGCATGACGATGAAATTGATTTCGCACGTAGATGCACACACCTTGCTCATAAGACTCTCACATTGGTGGAGCAAGTCGCACTACACTTGATTGTGGACAACCTGGGGCCCCTTTGCCAACAATAGTGGGCAGCACTCATACATACTAATATGGGTCAATTGTCAGGTCGGTGCTCAATTTATCCTTGTTTGCCAGTAATTGTCAAAATTATAAATATCTTGTCCTGCCATAGCCGTACCTAATGGAGACAGTCTAAGAAAGTATGTAACAAAGAAGAATGGTTGGCGACCACAATGAACTGGCTACATCATAACCTAAATGATTCATGATTTCTTTTGACTTTCCAAACCCTATGCATCATCAGGGAAAACAGCCCAATTCCCACAATCGTTCTTCAATAATTCTTCTACGATAATACTACAGAGTTGAAACACATCAACAAATAATTGTCCATTTCGGAGTAAATGTCCCTCTGTCCTAATTTTCCACCCTGCTCATATTCACACTTCTGGTCATTTGGTTCACAAATATTCAGTTAGTTTTGATACTACTTCCCTTCTGATTGTTCATTAGATCACTGTCAGTAAACAGGACCTCTGCCAGAAATCCATAATTTTTATAATGTGAATTGAGCCAAAATGGAAATTATGGCTATGAAATAGAGGTAAGTTAAATGAAAGATTTATATTTGATCATTCTGAACCTACAACAGCTATCTTGACTGTCAAGGGTCATGTGAGCAAAGATGAAAATATTCATAACATATACATTTTAAGTTGTTCACTGGTCACGAGGGTGCATGGGTTGATGTACCCTCGATGTTTGTTTATGTTCCCTGAGTCCCAAACATCGAGGGTACATCAACCCATGGACCCCGAGGGACCAGTGAACAAAGTATTTATCTTACTGAACACCTTAATGTTAATTTTGAATTGCTTGAAGCACGGGTACAAATCTTTTTTGTAGCCATTGCTAGATTTTGCTGACAAGAAAAACAGATTTAGAGTTATCTTCCTTCCATCGATTTGCATTCGCAAAACATCGGTAATTTCCGTACATCATACATGATTCAATGTTATTCGAGATAAAGAATTACTACCACGAAGTGCCAAATGAGTTGCCATTGACAGCGGGGTACACTGAAATGTTACTCGCTTGTAAGATGGTACATTGAAAATAATAGAAGAGCGCTCAGCCAATGAGAAAACGACATTTCTGTGTGAGGTAAGATAAATTATATTGACTGAGTGAGTTGCCAGGATATCACTAAGGTGTATGTATTTAGTTGTTTTGTTTGAACAGAAAGTGAGACTGTTACCACCCCAGTCTGTGTTTGTTGTCCATCAGTCTCAAAGCAAACATCCGTGGCGTCTGCCCCTCTACCACTGACCAGATACACCTTCCAACAAACACCTCAGGCCTGTGTATCAAACACAACTTCTAACTTACTGACCAAACCTGTGAAGCAAAATACCTTTCTAATCCACCAGCACTGAAATTATCTTTCTGGAATCTTTCAACAATGTAATGTTTAAAGTCTGAAAACAATCACTGATTGTAAATATCTGACATGCCCGAATCTATTTTCATATTTTACCCCAAAAAATTAAACCCAACCTTTTCTCATATCATTTCAAGCATCATTTGTACCCTTCAGACTGTCACAGCTTTGTATGAACAAATCTGAATATCATCTTTATCTGCAGTAGAATGGAGTGAGTGAGTGAGTATGATTTTACACCGCCACTAGCAATATTCCAGCAATATCACGACTGGGGACACTAGAAAGGGGCTTTAAACATTGTACTCATATGGGGAATCGAACCCGGGTCTTCAGCTTGAAGAGTGAACAGTTTAACCACAGGGCTACCCCACCGCCTGCAGTAGAATGGAAAGCCATTGAGCACCAACACACTCAGGTCAATACCATTAGGACAGAAAAAATCTATTTCACATAAATATCCATCATCAGATTTCCACACACTGACATCCTAAATCTGGTTTACATTACATGGACTTGAATATTTCCACGATTACTTGAGAGTGTTGAGCCCAGCTGACAGATACGGTGGCCATCAGCTGACTATCTGTCAGTGATACAGTGGAGGTCCAACACTGTTGTGCTGACATGGGTCAGAAGCCGAGGAGGGCAATGTTCTGACTGAGTGACTCCCAGTGAGGGGAAGTGAGGTGATACAGATTAGCTGCTCATACAGCAGCAGCTTCCAGATGTCAGAGACGCTCAGTGTGATGGGCTACATGTACCACCGTACTACCACCCACCTGACTATTCCATAGAGAATGAGACTTTTCAAGCTTGTATTTCCATATCTCATTACAAATAGCAAACTGTACAGCTCTAATCATTGGTCTAACCATTATGGATGAATTGAGATACAGATGAAGGAATCTAAAACTTAATTACACTAACATACATAAAATTCCTTATCAAACGGACGCTTAATAATAAGTGAATAAACCCAGGGATGAAAATGAAGTTTTGAGAAAAACTCTGAAAACTAGCCAAAGCTCCTGATTTTTAGACCTTTAAACCTGGCTCAGAAATGACAATATCATGAACACAGCAACCATTAAAAAACTTTATATCTGCTGAAGCACATTCATACAATTGTCAACAGATTTAGACGATTCACAAAAATGACCCTAGGCCTTATGAAATTCCCGGAATTCCGCGGAAAATACTCATCCCTGTAAACCATTTTGTCCGAATAAAAAACAACTTCAAAAGGTGCTGATAGAAGACAAGAATAACAAATGAATTGAAATGATACTCCATCTACCAGTAGTCCTCTTGTCTTTCCATTCACAGCCCTAAATGAAGAAAGTCTAGATTTCCCACGCCTGTACCTCAGGTCTCAGTGGGGCTCCTTACCAATTTAAGTGAAGCTATTTATTTCAAAACTACATATTTTCAGGGACTATCAGTCCCCATGCCTAATCTAAGAGACAGCACGTTTCTCCAGTCCCTACTGGCAGCTCTACTCCAGACAGTATCACAAGCTCATGGATCTTGGCTGAGGCCTTCGAGATGAAGACACTTATTGATAAACTAGAGAGCCATGTCAACTTCAAGTTTATGATAAACAGAACGCTTCATTACACAAGCATGGTATGGTGGTTGAAGGTGGTCACACACACGTGTCTGAAAAGCTCATACATGCGTCACCCACGAGGGAGCTGATGAAGAATTAGACTAATGCTTAGTCTCTGAATATATTTAATTTTGATAGTAACAAACAAGCCCATTTAAATTGAAAAGGAGCCCTAGGGAGACCAGAGATTCCTGAACCTGAGGAAATCTAGACTTGCTTTATTTAGGGCTTTAGCACTGCAGAGAGGGCTTGGTAGTGGGGAACATAATGTGGTTCAGGGACTGTGAGACAGACTAATGAAGAATCTGCCATCTGACATGCTGCTGTAGTATTTACAAGCCACTTACCCCTTGCCGCCTCTCTTTGAAGGCTTTGCATAAAGAATCAATTATACTGGCACTGCTAGATGGATCCCGTCCTGTATTTACAACATCCCCAGAGTACGTGTGTTATACATGAGAATTTACCAAGGGACTTGTTAAGGATGTGTTACTTTCTCCTTGTACTGTACACATGGTAGACGTGTGATGGATGACAATTACTGTGCAGGTATTCTGTTCCCAGTTGAACACACAGCAATGTGTTGAGAATTACTGAAGCTGTTTCAGGAAGCTAGTAAAGTGTTAAGCTGATGGTGTGAGATTAACTGATACTGTGTGAGTTGGGTTTAATGTCACTAAATTGAACAGTATTCCATTCTTTTATGGCATGTGAGTGAGTTAGTGGGTATGCTTTTATGTTGCTTTTAGTAATATTCCAGCAATATCACTATGGGGGACACCAGAAATGGGCTTCACACATTATACCCATGTGGGGAATCGAACCAGGGTCTTCGGCGTGACAAGCGAACGCTTTAACCACTAAACTACCCCACCGTCCATTTTACGGCATGTCCGTTTGATGTGGGAGTAAAGCCCAAAGCGATGCAGATCTTATATTTTGTTAATAATCTTTTATGTAACCATACAATTCCTTCATTTGTAACACTCCAAATGTTAATCAACACAGGTATTTTGGTTTAGCTTTGAATAGCATATCAGATATTTCACTGCATCTCCGCTTAATGTGGAAGAAAACCCTTAATACTACCTTACTGCTTTGGTGAAATCCATGAGCACAGGTATGATGATGACAAAACTATAAACATAATCTGGGAGAACTGGTTAATGGTGTGACCTGGGATGCAACACAACACAACAAACATGTCACATCTGGTCTTGACCGCCTCTGTGGTGTAGTGGTTAGAGCGTCCGCCCGGAGAGCAGAAGGTCGCGGGTTCGATCCCCGACCGCGTCATACCAAAAGACGTTAAAATATGATACTTGTTTGTCCCTGTCTGGCTCTCGGCATTAATGGGAACAACAAGGACTGGTCGGCTCGGAGTCAGTATAATGTGTCTGAGTGGGGTATTCATGCTTCACTGTGGCATGGTATCTCAGTGGGCTAGCACTATAAAACCAGCTTCAGTTTAGGCTAGTACAAGCAGCCGCACATACACATACACACGCATGCACATCGTCATATGAGCGAAATATTCTCAAGCACGACGTTAAACCAAATTTCACCTCACCTCACCTCTGGTCTTATCATAACAGTCAATGACATGGCTATATCATAATTACTAGTCATAACACTAGGGAACATTGGACCAGGCAAACCAGTAGCTGACGGCAATCATCTTCTATACCAGACACAAAAGTAAACTGAAACTCATGGGTGTTTGCTGTTATGACAACTGAGATCCAGGTTAGAATTGATCTTCTGCAACCCCTGCTTTCATAACAGGCAACTAACAAGATTGGGTGGTCAGAAATGCTGACTTCGTTGACACATCATTATATTCCAGCTGCATAGATCGATGCTCATGATGTTGACCACTGGACTATCTGGTCCAGACTCAAGTATTAATACTGCTGAGATCGATGCTCATGATGTTGACCACTGGACTATCTGGTCCAGACTCAAGTATTAATACTGCTGAGATCGATGCTCATGATGTTGACCACTGGACTATCTGGTCCAGACTCAAGTATTAATACTGCTGAGATCGATGCTCATGATGTTGACGACTGGACTATCTGGTCCAGACTCAAGTATTAATACTGCTGAGGGCAGCGATAAACAACAAACAAATCTATCCATGCTCCTGAGATATTTAAAATACTCAAGATGAAAGATATAACTGAAGGATCTTTAAGATGCCAACTCTTCCCTTCTATTCCAATCACAGAGTGTTGCCAATAATTCAACATCCAGTTTAATTAAAGGAAGGACATATGTTTTCAGCACAGGCCCAACATGAAAGAATCGGCACGCTGCTACCCTACAGCAGGCTCACTCTCCAGCAGGGAGGGGATAAACTGAAGATGTCTACACAGACACAAATGTGCCTCTGTAATGAGACAATTCCCAACATCAAAGTTCACTTCATACATCCATCCCTAAACACACCTAGCAATTGTCTTTGATAGCTTTTTTGCACACACATTGCCCAGCTGGACACTGACTCTACATTCAGGGGGTCAATGCTATTCTGATTACCTCCCTACACTTAATGGCAGAGGTCTGACCACTTCATAACAAACAAACATCAGTGATGTTTAAGTTATTAAATGAAGTGCTTTAAAACATCAGCAAGAGAAAACTGAAGTTCTACTGTATATTTGAGATCAGCTTGTATGTGTTAGTCAAACTATATTCAGGAAATATCCCAGTTAAGTGGTTGCTTTTTCAGGAAATACCCCAGTTAAGTGGTTGCTTTTTTCAGGAGATATCCTAGTTAAGGGGTAGCTTTTGCATCTTATATTCAGGAGATGTCCAAGATAAGTATTAGCTGTAACATGTTCAATTCAAATGTCCTAATTAAGTGCTAGCTATACATGTCCTAATTAATCCTAATTTAGTGTTAGCTTTTGCATACAGCATCAATATTTTCGGCAGTTGTGCTAGCTGTGTGATAGAGCTTCACAACACTTAATTTATAGATGTCCTAGATAAGTGGTACTTTTAGGACATTATATTCAGTATATGTACAAGTTAAGTGGTAGAGATCTTTAGCACTTAATACACTGAAGTTGTAGCTCAGTGGTAGATACAGAACATAATAATGACAACCTCTTGACGAGTGGTATATTTAGTATGTTATACTTCTGAGGTATCTTGTGCAAATGTGAGAAGCCAGCAGGTGGCTCTGCTCGAGTTAAGGATCACCCTAAAGTTGTGTCGCCTTTGTCGTACCGTATGTGTTTCCTATAATTGAGCAATCACCATGTTTCAATATACCAGTTCAAGTATCAAGTGACTGCCTGGCCTTACTAAATGTCTTCTGTCGAGACATGTACGTGTTATCGTGACCCACTGTCAGTCAAAGTCTCACCAGGTCAAGCAATTATACCACACACCTGTATTATCTAACCTGAACAAAACCAAACATTCCTTATTGTGGGACACCTATCACAAGCTCCTTACAATGGACACACATCATCGGACACCTGGATTGCAGTGGGAAATGATCTCAGTTCCAGTTGTGTCTGGACAAGGGGAATACAAGCCATTAATCTACTGGCAGCTATGAAGCAGTAATGAGGTGAGGTCAAGTGAAATTGGGTTTAACGTCGTGCTTGAGAATATTTCGCTTATATGACGACGTGCATGCGTGTGTATGTGCGGCTGCTTGTACTAGACTAGACTGAAGCTGGTTTTATAGTGCTAGTCCACTGAGATACCATGCCGCAGTGAAGCATGAATACCCCACTCAGACACATTATACTGACTGCGAGCCGACCAGTCCTTGTTGTACCCATTAATGCCGAACGCCAGGCAGTGACCAACAAGTACCATATTTTAACGTCTTTTGGTATGACGCGGTCGGGGATCGAACCCGCGACCTTCTGCTCTCTGGGCGGACGCTTCAACCACTACACCACGGAGGCAGTCCCGAAACAGTAATGAGCCCCCATACAACTTGTGTGTGTGATAGTTGTTGAATGCTGCACACGCTGTCTGTAAATAGTAGAGTCTGGACGAGACAGTCCAATGATTGACATCATGAGCATCAAGCTATGCTGTTGGCAAGCCTGACCACCCGATCCCACAAGTCTCTACCACTTACTACAAACTTAGATTGACAAACTGAGTGAGTGAGTGTGTTTAGTTTTACGCCACTTTTAGCAACATTCTAGCAATATGACGTCAGAAAGCAATATTCTAGCAATATCACTGTAGAAAAGGGCTGCACTCATTGTAACCATGTAGGGGTCTTCAGCATGACAAGCGACTACTATGACCACAAGGCTACCCCGCCACCCCGGGCTGCCGAAGACAATCTTCTATGACAGTTGAGGTTACTATCACATGATGGTAGGTCTCCAAACAATGAAATATGGTAGTCTTCTGACAAAGACTGTTAACACAACTACATCATTGACCACTGAACAATGAATATGATTATACAGAGTTCAGCAATATACCTATGATACCACTTGAGAAAGGCTTCACACACTTTTCCCCACTGTGAATTTAACATCGGCTTCGACAAGGAAACACAAACCATTAGGATGCTATTACACTGGAAGAGTCCACTAATTAACCAACTTACAGAATGTCAGGACAATTACTAAGCCAGGGTTCTGCCTCATGCCTCAAAACCTCCACACGATCCAAACAAATGCAGGTATGCTGAAGAGGCTAACCTTAGGATAACAACTATGTGATATACTGGATGCCCAAGAAATATTGAGCTGAATGATTGCTGCCTCCTGAACGGTACGTACCTCCTTGATGTGTTCCACGATGGCATGCTGCACCTCTATCTCGAGCTGCTTGATGTTCTCGATGAAGCTCTGCTTGTGTTCACACTGGACAGCACATCCCAGCACCAGCAGCAGCACCTTGCGGATCTCCTCAAAGCTGGAGTCTGCAACACAATTAGTTTATTACAATGACTTCTCATGTCATTCTCCTGCTATGTCTCATCCCACATTCAGGAATATGATGGTATTCTGTAAATATTCGATTCTGGACCAAACAACCCAGTGATTGATATCATGAGCAATGCTGTATACTGCAGGGTACCAAGTCATGTATTCAACCAAGCCACTGTCCACCTGACCCATTTAGTTCCCTTGTGATGGTAAAGGGCCCATACTCACATGGAACCCTTTGGTTTCAATTTGGACTCCTTGGTCTCCTGCCACTGTGACAATCGTCCACCAATAATATCATGGCATGTAAATGTAATCCAGTAGAAAACCAATCCAGGTCGATGGTGTACGAAGACTTATAATCAACCAGGTGTAGCTATTTGATCCTCAAGTCTGCAAATTTTCTTTCACAAGCAGGGTTGAGAATCTACTCCAGCCCAGAATTTCCATAAGTGACAGAAAGCAAATAAAAGAGGATACTTCCAAGAACTAGTTTTTCTTCCACTGTAATCAATATAGCACATATAGTATAGCGAATTTGAAGGGGAGAAGACCCATGCACACAAATGAGCAACTAATAGTATGAGCACTGATCCAGAAGACTGTAATACAATAAACAGGTAATAAGAGGGCACTGAGCTGTTTGTTAAACATGCATATACTACCCACAAACACTGACATTAATAGTTCCTCACTTCAAACAGTCGAAGGTGATGATATACTATTCTGCCTTACAATCCTTGCAATAGAGGTTGGACTGGCAAAGGATACAGACTCACTGGTCACATAAACTTTTTCATTGACATGATCAACAGACAATGTTACAATCGACTCAGATGTAAAGAAATTGCATGGAACTTGTGACTAAAAGTTTGACACAGATGGACAATTAACTTTCAACATAGATATTTACTGACTAACCCAAAGTTAAGTAAATATATCCTAAGACTTTTTCATAACTGTATCTAATTTGTTTTAATAAATATTTATGCAATACACAATGGATGCAGTACTCTCTTGCCATGACAACTGCCACACTTTTCAAATTCGAGATATAACATCAGGAAATCTAGGCAGTGAACAGTCTAGGATATATCCAGGCTTCAAATCCCGTTTAAATCATTTTCAACCGATCACACTGACAACACTCCCATTAATTTTACAATAATTCAATACAGTAGCAACTCAGCTGACAGACGTCTGCTCGACAGACATGACAGTTTTATCAGTGGAGTAGTTTCCCTCCTCAACACACTCAAGTCCTGACTGGCCCTCAGTGTACTGTGTGCACCCAGACATGTCAGATAGCATCTATATCTACACACAGGCTGGAATCAATACAGATGACATGGTTTGATGGTGTACTACTGGAAGACGGTAAGCCCAACTGGCCATGTAAAGGATGCATTGGTATACAACTTGATGGCTACAAAATGACAACATTACCTTTATGTGGGTCGCGGCAGATGGCGTGGATGTTGGGAAGTTTGAGGATGAGCAGTTGTTGCAGTACCTCCTGGAAGAAAGAAAGTCAAAATCAGTTGAAGTCTAAAATGAAATATTGCAACATAAATGTTACCGAAGCAAGCAGTGGCTTCGGTCACTTCTATTGACAATAACAAATTTATTGAAAAAACCCCTAAAACACATCTTGAGACTAGATGCAATTTCAGAGATTTCAGTTTCAAGAGCTCAACTACATTTCAGTCAAGTATGTTTATCCTAAAATATTCAGATGAAATTTACCACAAAGGAAAGAAGTGACTGATTCCTGTTTATGCAGCTTTTAGAAATATTCCAGCAATGTCATCACAGAAAACACAAGACTTGGGCTTCACAAATTGTAACCACGTGAGGAATCGAACACAGGTCTTCAGCATGATGAAGAAACACTTGAACTACTAGGCTTTCCCCACTGCCCCTGAAGATACTGAAAACATGTTTAGTGAGTAAGTGAGTGAGTATGTTTTAATGCCGCTTTTAGCAATATTCCAGCAATATCACGGTCGGGGATACCAGAAATGGGCTTCACACATTGTACCCATGTGGGGAATCGAACCCGGGTCTTCAGCGTAATGAGCCAGTGCTTAAACCACAAGGCTACCCCACTGCCCTAAAAACATGTTTAGACTAATTGACACAAAAACACTTTTATACATACATACATGGCCTAGGTTTTAAAGTCACTGTCCTAAATAAAGGGCTTTAAGGACTAATGGTTTATCTTTAAATTACACTGAAGTTAAGCTGTTAGTCCAGAATGCATAACAATTCTATATATGTTGAATGACAAATCATATTTAACTCATGATGTCTACCCTCAAAATTGAGAGAGGAGGACTCCAATACTCTACTGGACTAAACAAATATGACTCTCTTCAGCTGTCACTGTCTTAAAAGACATGGACACAGTTTAACATCTTAATTATTTCTTTATCAATTTTTTTGCAGTGAACACTTTTGAGTTACCTGGCAGCTAACAGTACCTCAGCTGTACTGTCATCAGCTTATCTCTACACGGATATGTCTACATACATGACAAATATTGATTGTACTCTCATTAAATCAACCATAAATGAGTGGTAGGGTACACATTGATTCAAACTCTATTATCTGCAGTATTCTGCAGTGCGCACCATATAACCTGCCACACAGGAGTATGTTGTCTCCCAAACATGCTTGGCTCTCTGCCAGTAGCATGGCTACAAGTTCTCAGTAGGTTCTGGTTGATTAAACATGTAGTCAGTAAATGTTAGCCACCCTGTACATAGTTTTCACAGACATATCCAAATTGGTTTGTAGCTGAGTGACATGTAAGTGAGTGGGTATATCTCTAAACCTTTAGCCATGTTAGGCAGTAAAGAGGACCACTGTTGAAAATTCTAAAGATTTATTTTAGGTCCAAAGAGGAATTTATGGCTATGATGTAAATGAGGTTGGATCTCCAAAGGATTAATGGGCTTCGTGTACAAACCCATGGGGAATTGAACCCAGGCATCAGCATGTGAACGAATGCTTTAATTACTGGGGTATGCCATCACCCTCAAGGAATGAAATATTGGTTGTCCAAATTACAGAGTACAAGGGTGGGCATCAAAATGATGGACTGGGAAGGTAGGGCTTAGAAACCCAGGGCTACTTGGGTATCAAACAGCAGGTATTGGAACTATGAACTTGATTGGAAGGCATTAATGTTAGTGGAACAGTGGAAGGGTAGGTTTCACAATCATGGAGTGGGAGGATGGACTGATGGGGTGGGACAGTACACAATGGGACAACTGGGAAGTGTGGGAGTGAACCTGGGAGGGTGGACACTGGCATAAACTGGGTAGGTGGACACTGGGAGGGTGGACACAGGTATAAACTGGGTAGGTGGACACTGGGAGGGTGGACACAGGTATAAACTGGGTAGGTGGACACTGGGAGGGTGGACACTGGCATAAACTGGGTAGGTGGACACTGGGAGGGTGGACACAGTGGTATAAACTGGGTAGGTGGACACTGGGAGGGTGGACACAGTGGTATGAGTGTGGTCCATGACATGGAGTTGGAATAAGTTATCAATGTCTATAGTCTGTTTGCAGTGAAAACGTAGTGATGAATTTCACTTTAAACAAAACAGTAAATCGAATAAAGTGAAAATATGATTGCGGATCCTCATGATTTTACCTTGCCAATTGAACATGTAACTCTCAGAATTTTATTCAACTTAGAATAAAATAAGTTTAACAAACGATCATGGTTTCAAACCGCTATTATTGGTTTGTACTACAAGGGGGTATGCACATTAGATGAAACACCTAGAACAAATATGGTTGGTCTAAGTTAACGCTCATCATGTACCGCACGTGCATTTGTTTCACTGTTCCAACCACTACGCTTACCCCCTTGTAATACAAACCAATAATAGCGATTGGAATCTATGATCGTTTGTAAAACAACTTTTATCCTAAGATGAATAAAATTCTGATATTTAAATGTTCAATTGGCAAGGTAAAATTAAGAGGATTCGCAATCTTAATTTCACTTTATTTGATTTACTTTTTTGTTTAAAGCGAAATTCATCGCTACGTTTTCACTGCAAACAGACTTTAGGAGGTGTACACAATCAATGTCTCTGGGCATCTTTAGCAAAGGTTGGGGTGGTAGTCATTGACAGTCAGTAACTGAGAGAGTTGACACCAACCAGTCTTCTGATACTGGAAAAGCATACCTACTAAAACGTAGTCTGCAATAATCCCGATGCATTTGAATACTGCCAGTTCCATATGGACAAAGCTGGCATGGATTCCGCAGATTGCCAGGCTATATATCAAATTATGTTCACACACTGTCATGATCTACTACAGCCAGATATTATATATGATGAGAACACATTATCAATACTTATCAGTCAGATTATAGCGGGATCTTTGAGGTAAGCAGGCATGTCCAAATGTGCCTATAATTGGTTTGTATTGAGTATACATGAATGTATGGTTACTAAGCCTGTTACTGTGTCTGTGTACAATGTCCCCTGGATCGTGGCAAGCCCATTTATATTGAAGGGGGGAGACTGGCAGGGGCAGGGGGAACTGTCCACTGACTTGTCTCCAGGATCATGGCCAGGATCAGGGGAACTGTCCACTGACTTGTCTCGCGGGATCATGGCAGGGGGCAGGGGGGAACTGTCCATTGACTATGGTAGGATAACAGACAGAGATTTGTGGAGATTCCAGCTCATTACTAGAAGTGAAGCATGTATTGCGGACAAGTCACTCAGGACTCATCCTCCAGAATGTCCCGAAGGACTAGCATGTCGTGTATTGACCATCTCTTCCCAATAGCTCCACCCTTTTGTGATAATGTATTGACCATGTCTTTCTAACAGCCCTACCCAGCTGTGATAGTGTATGGACTTTGTCTATCTGGAAGGACCACACCTTTGATAGCATGAATGCACCTGTCAAAGTTGAATCAAGAGGACGCAGTAGAATTGTGATCTGAGTCCTATATGACAGTTTCACAAAGTTCTGTTCATACCGGTATGGCCACATGCTCCCTTGACCACCTTCATTATCCACTATGGGGGACCCAATTTACAACAAGTCCCAGTACTGTCTCACCTGTCATAACAAGTAACCCAGTTGGATCTCAGACCAAGTTAGTTGGTTGATAGAGTCACCACACCTTGATGTTGCCCAATATCTGGTTGGCATGCAGTGTTCACTAATGGTGTTTCCAAGTAACAGGACATGGGTCCTGTAAGTTTCAGATGTCTGTCTGACTCGTTGAAAATTCACAGGACCCATAGAATAAAATTAAACACACATTTCAGATTTAACATCTGTTATAATTGGCACTGAAATTATTAACAAACATAAGATTTATAACAAGTGTCACATGTCACATATAACAACTTCAGTCAAAGTTATTGTGAAATATACAGTCCGACACTGGGGACGGCGGGTTGTAGACTTCTATCAGACCGTTGGGGAATCTGCCAGATTTGTCAGAGGGTCAGACGCTATTAGTGAATACTGTGCATGACTATTACAGGCCGCTGTGGTGTACAGTTTGTAATATATTTAGCCACTGTGACATTTTATTTGTAACAATTTTTAACCATTGTCACATATTCATTCACAAAAGCTGGTCCAGTAATGTGAAACAGTCGACCTATGCACCTGAGATCGCAAGAGAATCTACCAGCATTTAAGTCACAACTGAAAACTCATTTGTTCAGTGCCGCCTACCGAACTTGACCAATGTCTTTCCAGACTCATTTCCAGCTCTTTTGAGTGGCAGATGCCAGAAACTAGCGCTATATAAATATTTGTATGTATGTATATTAAATGTAAGATTTCTCAGGCAAAATGATACAATAGTGACATTGCTTTTAGCTATTGCGATACATTATTCGTAAAACCTTTCAGTTACTGTCTTTTGTACTATGCTATAGCCACATTATTTGTAACATTTTTTTAACCATCACAACATATTATTTGTAATTTTTGTAATTTTTTCAGCTACCAAAATGTATTATTTCTAATATATACTCATGGAAACAAATAAGGGAACACACGAAAGTACAAGTGTTCCTATATTTATTTCCAGAATTTCGCCCACAGTGCAATACATACCTTGTGAAGAAACCTGGTAAAGAATAAAGGAACACTTGTACTTTCATGTGTTCCCTTATTTGTTTCCATGAGTATATAACATTGTGTTATTGTTTATATTACATGTAATATTGCTGATTTTATGGAAAGACTTCCGCCCGTATCCCCCCTTAAATTTCATTCTAGTCAATCATATCACCTGAATATATATATTCCTCATCTGGTAAGGATGAGTTTTAGCATGTTTCTTTAATTGTATCTTAACATACTGAAAGACATATCCAACTTTTAAAAATGCCACTCAAAGAAACTTTTCCTCATGGTTAAAATTTATGGGGGATACGGGCGGAAGTCTTGCCGATTTTAACACAACACATCCAACAGAATTATCAAAACACAGTGTTTGTGTTATGAG